TTTTTCATCAAAACCAAGTTAAGTTAGCCTATTCTGTACAGATTTTTACTGATAAAAATCTGTTTTGATTTTTGTCTCTTCAAATAAACTTGCAAGTAAGGATTGGGTTTCCTATTCTCTAGCACTCAACAAATGTTCGGAACGTTTACCACATACACAGCATCAGCTGTTAAAGAACTCAAAAAGTAATAAGCCTTCTAAAGGCATATATGCCTATAGCTGGATATACTAAAAAGAATTATGAAAGCTTTAAAAAAAAACAAATGTTGTGTATGTAATAGTCTACCAGGCAAGGACTCATTATTTAATGTCCTGCATTTGCTCTTATATAAGAACATGAAATCTCAACAACTTAAACTACTGGAACTAAAAATCTAGGGGAGATTTCAATATTTGAAGATGTTAAAAACAAAAGTTCCTACCTGGTACAGACATACATATCCATGAGCCTTTCTGAACCCAAGGAGCATTGTAATGTTAGCTTATTTGCTCACTGAGAATGAGGACAAAAGATGTGTTCCTTCATTATAGAAGCCAAATTTAATCCAACAAAATTGGCTCAGTTCCAGTTTTCACTTATCTTAAAAGACTATGTACTCTCCAAAACCTGTACATGCCAGAGTTACAGCTAAGTGATTCTGGGGCCACCCTTGCTATCGTCATGAACTAAAAGAATCCTCAGACTGAAAAGTGGGGTCTTCCTGTTCTCCTGAGCCTTGTGGTCTGATTCCCAATGCTGAGGCTGGTCTGTTCACTAGTCTCTTTCCAGAGGAAGCCTTAAAACATAAGAGATTCTATTGAGGAGGATATATTCTTTTTTAGAAAACAGTAACAAACAAAATCTAAGGTAACTGATCATTCTCTTGATAAAGCAGTTAGAAATGCTAGACAGATTTAGAACAAAAATTATTTTACAGGATAGCCGAGTTTACAAGAAAGGCAACTCTCTGTGTGGTGGAAACAAAGAGAACTAAAAACCAGAATGGTCAGTGATAACTGCAGCTGAATTTAGTTTTTATTTTCATAACCCAGGGCTTAGGTATTCTCACCTAGGACAGAAGATGAGGTATAGGGCCCAAGTGAGGCAAAGAGAAGTGATTCCCAATATAAAGGCTGAGACTCTTGAACAGTAACTTCAGGGAAAAAGTGGAAAATTAATAAGCTGAGAGTTCAAAGTCTTGGGTAAATCCCTTCCAAGAGTTTAAGTTCCTTTATTATACCACCAGTGTAGTTCAGGAACTCCCAAATTGAAAAATTAACATAAAAACTAGACTCAGACCAGTGTTAGCACTAGAGGGTCTAACAGATAACAAAACAACTATGTGGAAGGACATCCACATAAAAAAGTCACAGGGGCACTTCATGGAGGAAGAAAAAAAATCACCACTAAAGATGAATTTACAATTAAATACTACATGAAACCCAAGAAATAATTCCCTAGAGCTAGAGTCAGCACACAATATAGCAGAAATAGACTTCTAAAAATGTGAAATAAAAAAATGACTGTGAAAAAGAATGTAATCTATATTTAAAATGAGTAAAGACACACAAGAAGGAATCAAAACACTAAGGAGAAAATAATTATGAAAAATAACAATTTCTGAAAATGAGTAAAATAAAACTTACAGAATTGAAAAATATCTTGAAATATTGAAATGAAAAATAGGTTAAAAATGGACACCTCAACAGGCAGTATAAGCAGAAACTAAAGAATCTGTGCACTGGAAGGTCTTCATCAGGGTGTTACCCAGGGTATTACCAGTATATGCAAGAGGCATTAAGAAATTTGGAGGAAAGAATAAAGTTTATTTATGTCTAATGACAAATGAAGGAGGGAAGAATAGTGAGAAATGGGGAAAGAATAATATCTGAAGAGATAATACATGAGAATTTTCCAAAATTAATGAAAGGTAACAATCCTCAGATCAATAGGCATAATTTTTAAACAGAACTAAAACGAAACCTACATCTAGACATACTCCAAAAAAATGCAGAATACAAGAGGTAAGGGAAAACTCTTAAAAGAACCAGAGGAAAAAGACAGATCAGCTCCAAAGGAATAATTAGAATGATTTCTCAACATCAATCATGGAGATCAAGAAGAAATGGAATATTTTCAAAGTACTGAAAGAAAAAAAACATTCTTTCAATCTAGAACTCTATGCTCAGCTAAAGTATCAAGATTGAGAGCAAAGATTTTCAGACTGAAAAAGAATTTACTACTCACAATTCTTCACTGAAAAAAACTATTAAAGGATATACTTCAAAAAAAGAAAGAAACTGAACCTAAAGAAGGAAGGAATGAGATTTGTAAGAAATTGGTAAACATGTGGGTTTATCAATAAGCACTGACCATGAACCACATTAATTATTTTCCAATCTGACATATAAAAATAAGGTTAAATGAAAATACCAGGCAATAGAAACACAGCAGACAGGAGAAATGAACATTCTGGAAGAACATAAAGCAAGTCATCTCAGAGCCATGGTTCTTAAACTTTGGTGTGCATTGTAATCACCTGGAAGGCTTGTTAAAAGCACAGCCTGCTAAGCCTTGTCCCTAGCATTTCTAATGTAAGAGATCGGAGTGGAGACTGAGAATTTTCATTTCTAATAAGTTCCAAGGTGATGCTGGTAATGTTGCTCTTAGGACCCCTTTGGGAATCAAAACATTTGATTTTTAGGTCGAATATGAATGTTAAAAAAAAGTAAAGGGAAACATCCAAATAACTAAGGCATATTATTTACAACCCAAAAAAGGGGAAAAAGATGAATAAAGAAAAATAAATCAGTCCCACAGAAGTCAGGGAAGTAGGGGAAAAAAACAAATAAATACAACTAAGTAATCAATCACAATGAAATGCATGGACTAAATTCACTAGTTAAAAGACAAAGATGAGCTGATTCACTTTGTTGTACAGCAAACACAACAATGTAAAGTCTATATTCCAAAAAAAAAAAAAGACAAAGATGGACAGACTGAATAAAAAATAAAATTTTCCCATGCATTAAAACATACTGTAAAGTTACAGTAATTAAGAGAGTCTTGGTAATGGCACAAAGTGACCAATGAATTATGAAACCAAGAAATGACCCATGCACACATGGAATACTAAGATGACAGAAGTGACTGAAGATCATTAGAAAAGGATACACTACCCAGTAAACAGAGCCAGGACAACTGGTATCCATAGGAAAAAAATGAAATTGGATTCCTACCTTATACTGTACACAAAATTAAATTTACAGTTAGATACTTAAATATATTTGAGTGTGAAAGCAAAACTTTAGAACTTTTAGAAGAAAACATAGCAATAGGGAAGGATTTTTTAAACAAGACACAAAAGAGCTAACCTAAAAAGATGAGTAAATATAACTACCTAAGAATCAAATCTGTTTATTAAAAGACACTATAAGAAAGTAAAAGGATAAATAAAAAAAACTTGATAAGATAATTATAACACCTGTAACAAAAAAATTAAAATTCAGAAAAGATAAAAGAACACATGCAAATCTGTAAGACCACCAAAATGGGTAAAAGCAAAGCAAAGTCGCTCCGTCGTGTCCGACTCTTTGCGACCCCATGGGCTGTGGCCCACCAGGCTCCTCCATCCATGGGATTTTCCAGGCAAGGGTACTGGAGTGGGTAGCCATTTCCTTCTCCAGGGGATCTTCCCGACCCAGGGATCGAACCCAGGTCTCCCGCATTGCAGGCAGACGTTTTACCCTCTGAGTCACCAGGGAATATTTCAAAGAAGAAACATGGTCAAACACAGAGATGTTCAGCATCATTAGAAATCAAGGGACTGCAAGGCTCTCCTCGTGGTTCAATGGTAAAGAATCCTCCTGCCAGTGTAGGAGACACGGGTTCAATCCCTGGTCCAGGAAGATCCCAGAGCAGTAGAGCAACTAAAACCCATCTGCCACAACTACTGAGCCTGTGCTGGGGGGCACAGGGGTGGTAACTCCTGAAGCCCACGCCCCCCGAAGCCTGTGCTCTACAACGAGGGAAGCCCCCACAATGAGAGAAGCCAGATAAGGCCACCGGAGAGTAGCCCTCCACTCCCCACAACTAGGGAAAGCGCCCCACAGGAATGAAGACCCAGCAAAACCGACATAAATACAGTTTTTTTTTAAATCAAGGGACTACAAATGAAGACCACAATGATTTATCATTTAAAACCCATTAAACTGCAAAAACTAAAATCGGCAAAATCAATGTCACAACATACATCAAAGTAACTATTATATCCTGTTAGTGGTATAAATCATTAAAACTACTTTGGAAAATAATTTAACATTATTTTGTGAAACTGAGCATACCCTGCAACCCAGCAATTTTACTCCCACGTGTACTCCAGAGAATCTCTTACATCTTTCCTCCACAACACATGACACAAATGTTCCTAGCAATAAGGGTTAGATTAGTAAAGACCTGGAAACAACCCAAACGTCCATCTACCAGGAAATGGATACATTATGGTATATTTCCACAACAGAATTCTGTACATCACTGAAAATGCATAAACCACAGCTGTAAGCAACTTAATAAAAGCAAAACAAACAACAACAAAAAAACAAATTCTAGAAGAGTACAAAGAATATAATTTTTTTTTAAAGCTAAAAACATGATACACTTTACAAAATTATTTTTTAAAAAGCAGAGAGAGAGAGCAAAAATCTGTGTCAGCAGTTACAGGGAGTGGGGATGACAAGTGGTTGAGATGAGGAGCATCATCTCAGTGGATAGTAGTTAGTGATAATGGTAGAGTTCTCAGATTTGGTATGTGGGTGGGATCATGATGCTTGGTAATATTAATATGCCTTATAACTTAACTTCGTAATTTAAGTAACCATGCTTTACTTAACATACATACATATATTTTTCTATTCTCTGCTAGGTTTGAAATACATTAAAAAAGTTAAAAGGGAGTGGGGAGTAAAACTAAATTATGCCAGTTGATACAGACTGCAGTAGGAACCAAATCCCCAGTACTTACTGGTCAAGGGTCTTATAATAGACGTCCAGATCCTTGTTCACAAGCTCTGTTGTTCTCATAACAATCATCATTTCCCTGTACTTTTCCTCAGCATCCCGGAATTGAGGTTCTCGAAGTTCTTTCTTAAAATGAATGATTTCTTCCTCATAACCTTTCTGTCGCCCTATTGCCAAACTGTGATTTCTTTTTATATTGTCTATTTTTTCTTCCAACTTCTGATGTTCACTAGGAGGGAAAATAACAAATGAGGACCATTTTTAGATTTTAGCAGCCTACAGTAGAAAAGCCAGATTTCTTCAGCTAGAAAAATAAATCATTCTCTTTGCAATCAGAATACTGTCTTTCCTTTTCTTTAAGGCTTCAATACTAAAGAAAACTTGCTTCTTTCCAAATCTCTGAAGCATCCAGGTTTCTAAACAGCTGATTTTTGTGTGCTGAATGAAGTACTCTCATAACATGTGAACACTGAAAAAGTTCCTGATGTTTACACATTAACCTAAGTAAAGTACTTTTGGTGATTAATATTACAAATTTACGAACTTCTCATTGTGAACTAAGTGCACAATTACCGACTCTGAGAAGTTACTAACAGGTTCCATCAGTTTGTTCACAGTATGTCAGACAAAATAAAGTGTTATCTCAAACTATTAATTTATGCAGTAATGCCACTAATAGTTTATTTTCCTCTATGAAAACAAAATTTCTCTTACATAAGTATTAAGAGCATCACACTGATCAAGAAAGTAAAAAACTTAAACTTTTCTCATAACTTGGTAGATAATGCAGATTTTGACATGCTTTAAAAATCTTCATTCAACAATTACTTATTAAGTGTCCTCTTATTTGCCAAGCACACCTCTCAAGTTTATGAATACACTTAAAGAACTGGCCTGATTTCTGTTTTGTTGACACTGCTGTTGTGTCCTGGTTGAAGAAAGGTTTGAAAAAGAGCAGTTGTGCTTAGCAGTCTGAATGAATGTGAAAAGCACTGTTATGTGCCAATTACAGAAGGAAGTATAAAAGTATCTGATTTTGGTCTTTAGTAGCAAGGAATATATAGTTGCATTTAAAGGCTATTTCTATAAGCTTTCCCTGCCCCGCCCGCCCCCGCCGCCCCCCGCAACTTGGCACCAAAAGCACCAACATTACAATGGTAAAGAGTGCAGCTTGGAAGCTAGGATATCTGGGTCATGTTCCTGGCTTTCATTCTAATTTCCTATTATCTTTTTTTCTGGGTCTCAGTGTCCTAATGCATAAAAGACAAACAGGCTGAAAGATAAAGAGCTCTTCTAGTTAAGCCTTATTTCTTTGATATATGAGATTGAAAATGGCCAAACCAAGAGAACTTACAATAACACAGGAGTAACTATTTGTTAGGTTTTAATAACTAAATTAAATTTCACTTTATTATATCTTTCAGAAAAACATAAGCATTCTTTGATCCAGATTCCTTTGTGAAGTCAAGAAGAAAAATGAAAATTCCATAAGGAATGGCTGAATGAATGAGTATATCTAACCAGCGAAGGTGGGACCAAAAACTCTGTTTGGCTAGTACAACCTTTTACACCAGACTAGTGCCTCAGCCATCAACCGGGTTCTTACAGAATTCCTAAGGCAAAGAAAACAAGAATAAAATCTTTTCTGCTGTAGCAAGAAGATAGCAACTATAGTAAGTAGCAATAAAACCAGATGAAAGAAGAATCTAATTAATCAAATGCTCTGGCTGTCACATAATTATACCTGCGGCCATGTACATGTCATCAAGGACGAAGAACTGGCTGTAACTCCACTAGCAATTACAGAATGCATAAGCACTGACCCAGGCAGGGTTCAGAGGCCAGATATTCTTTCTATCATTAACTTGTGAGGCAGGCTTGCTAAAGTCTGTGAATTCGGTATTTTTAATACTGGCTATCACTGAATAGTTACAATGTGACTATAAATTCTGTTACTACTTCTTCAGTAATTCAGTTTATAAAGCCATTAAATGTATCTGTATGCAAGTGCCTACATTCTTTCAAGTTTGAAAGGACACTTTGGCCACAGGCTTAAATTCTTAAAAAAAAAAAAAAAGCATTGAATATATTTCACATTTCAATTATAAGGACCTTTATTTAAACTAAAGACTATTTTTAAAAACGCACTTTTTCATTTGTAAAACCTGCATTTGACCCATTTCCTTCAAATGTTGTTTTCTTTCTTCTTCAACTTCTTTTAGTTCTTCATTTCTTTTTCTTAAAGTAAGGTTATCCTGTAGCCACCTTTCTTGTATCTAAATGTAAATATTAAATTCGTTAACAAAAATAATCAAGTTACCAACATGTGATTCATAGCAGGTAACTGGCAACAGGCAGTACCAATTCTGCCTTAGACTCATGTGTGACTCAGCAGAGGGAGAAGCCAGTGTAAAGGGGCCTCCAGGCCTAGACAAATATGGAAGCCCCCCCCCCCCCCACAAAACAAACATTTAAATGATGAGAGAAAATGCTACCACTAGATTTCCAGTATTTCATACCTAGGCCCCATAGGATCATCTTTCCTAAGAACCTCAAAATGGAGCCCACTGATCTAAGAGATACAAGAGAGCAAGACTACTATCAAAGTCTCCCCCACTTTTTTTCCTGAGTTGTATTTGTCTACTAACATGTGCCAAGACCATTATATACTGTTAAATATGTCAGATAAGATCTTTACCTTCAAGCTGACAAGGTGGTAAGAAGTTTCACAAAAATAGTGTATCTATATACTTGATGACATTTTTTTCTGGCCACTGAATTGAAATGAAAAACTTTAAATTTAGCTGTTCTTGTTGAGTAGTTTTGTCCTTAAAAAGCAACCATTAAATCATTTGTTGGCAGCAGCACCACACAATTATTTCAGTAGTTTCCCTGGTGATTATAATGGACTATGTTGTCAAGAGACGAACAGAATACAATTTATAAGTTGACTCTTTGCAACTTAGGGAGAAAAAGTCTTCCTGCAAAAAAATGATGGTTTGGCCCAAAAAAGCCTGAATATAAAAAATTTACCTTAACTTTGGAGTCAAGCCTTTTCAAAGAAGACCTTTCTACAGCAACCTGAGATAAACTCAGTGTGGAGGGAGGTGGGGGTGAGGGGAGGAGGTAGATCTTTGATAACATTTTGTTGCCAAAGTAATGACTCCAGAGTCACTGCGCTTCTGGGAAGTGGGAGATCAGAAGGGAAGCCGCTTCTCTGACATGCTTAATGTTCACATCCACCCCTGCCCACCTATAAATCATTATTCTGAGTTTTGCTGTTTTTTTTTGTTTGTTTGTTAACTTCATTAAGGCTCCTTTCAGTCTTCCTAGAACTAATAATGTAAATATATACGTATCTATTAAAGGCATCATTATAAGCTAGAGATGACAAAAATGATACAGTTGTAAACTACCTTTTGTTGCCAAGGCAACCTAATGTACCACCACAGCTGCTCTGACTCCCCAAGATTCTTCCATGGGGGACTATGCTTATACTTTTTCCTTATTAGGAACAAAAGAATGTGGCATTGCTTGCTTTTATCTAACAGAACAAGGGAATTTGCTTTCATGAATACTTGAAAGGACTCTTTGAAGGGCTATCACATTCTTAGGTGAGACTGATTTTTTGCATGAAATAATGTTCCTGGTCTGTTAGCCTGCATGGTCACCAGAAAGCTAGAGATTTCTTTCTTTCAGGTCAGCTTCTAATTGCTTTTTCATTTAGGAAGACAGTATATAGCACAGTAGTTAAAGAGTATAGGCTTTGAAGTCAGATATACCTAGGCTCAAATCTCAGCACTGCAAGTTTCAAACAGGATGACTTTGGGCAAACTAGTTTAAATTCTCTGAGCTTCAGTTTACTTGTAACATAGGGATAATAATACCACCTGTCAAGAGAACTACTTTGAAGATTAAAATAGTTATTGTATATTTGTACTTTTTAGTACTAAATGCAGTGCTTAGCTCAATAAGCTAGTGAAATACTTTTTGGGTCAAATCTGTCCTTGTACTTTAAGCAGTAAAAATTCCAGTTACAGTCTTCAAAATATAAAGTATCAGAGGAAGAAGAGATAAAGTATCAGACAAAACTAGATGCAGTCATAAAACTGTTTTTCCATTATACTAGCAATTTGACAATGTAGGGTCAAGTTTGACTCTATTACTTTTATGATCTTTGGCAAGTCAGGTCACCTCCAGTTTCCTTCATCTGAGAAATGAGGAAGATTATTAAACTTCCAAATTTTTAAATTCTGTGGAGTAAAGTACATAAATATGCTGTTAGGTTCTTCAACTGTTTGATAGTAATCCCAATCACTCAGTTCAGAGAGTAGTTAATGCATACGGTTTGCCGCCTAAAGGAAACATGAAAATTAGCTACATTCTAGGTACCTATGAGAGAGTAATATGCTGAATAAACCACATTCCAAAATCTACCAGAAGTCTAGTTGGTGAAAATGCCATTTATAGACCAATCTCCTGAAAGCTCTACAGTGCTCTGACTCAGTAACTGATATATAAGTTAACGGGATGCATCGGAACCCCTGAGGACCTTCAACAAATATACATGCCTCTGCCCACGCCCCAGAGGTCCTGATTTATTGAGCTGGAATGGAGACAGATGTGTATTTTCAATAACCCAGGTGATTTTTTTTAATTGAGACATAATTTATGTACCATAAAATTTGCCACTTTAAAGTATACAGTTCAGTGGTTTCAGTGTATTCATACAGTGCTAATTCCAGCACATTTTATTGCTCCCCAAACTCCATACCCATTAGTAGTCACTCTCTATTCCCTTTTCTCTCCTTTCCCCTTACCCCAAGCAACACTAATCTGCTTTCTGTCTCTATGATTTGCCTATTCCATACATTTCATGTTAATAGAATCATACAATATGGTCTTTTGTGACTGACTTCTTTCATTTAAGCACAATACTTTCAAGGTTTGTCCAGATTATAACGTCTATTATTTCCTTACTTTTAATGGTTGAGTAATATTCCACGATGGTTAATTTTATGTGTCAACTTGACACCACAGGGTGCCTAGACACCGGTCAAACATTATTCTGTCTATGACAGTATTTCTGGGTGAGATTAAAATTTAAATTGGGAGATGGAATAAAGCAGACTGCCCTCCCTAATGTGGATGGGCCATATCCAGTCAACTAAAGACCTGAACAGCACAAAAAAGGCTGATTAAGGGGTAATCATCCTGCCTGACTGTATGAGTTGGGACAGTGTTTTTTTTTTCTTTCCTGTCTTCATATTTAAGGTGAAACGTTGGCTCTTCTTGGATTGAGAGAATATTTTAGCTCTCCTAGTTCTCAGGCCAGAACTACACTACACTATCACTTTCCTCAGTCTCCAGCTTGCCAACCACAAATCTTGGGAATTCTCAGCCTCCACAATCACTTGAGTTAATTCCTTACGATAACTATCTTTGTCTATATCTTCATCTGTATTTATCAGTCTCTTATTGGTTCTGTTTCTCTGGAAATTCCTGGCAAGTATATATGAATATACCACATTCTGTTCACCCATTCATCAGGTGATAACAATTTGGGCTGTTTTCCATATTTTATGCAAATATATTGGAGAAGGCAATGGCACCCCACTCCAGTACTTTCGTCTGGAAAATCCCATGGACAGAGGAGCCTGGTAGGCTGCAGTCTATGGGGTCCCACAGAGTCGGACACGACTGATCAACTTCACTTTCACTTTTCACTTTCATGCACTGGGGAAGGAAATGGCAACCCACTCCAGTGCTCTTGCCTGGAGAATCCCAGGGATGGGGGAGCCTGGTGGGCTGCCGTCTATGGGGTTGCACAGAGTCAGACATGACTGAAGTGACTTAGCAGCAGCAGCAGCATGCAAATATATATTTTAAGTTCTTGGTTATATACCTAGGAGTGGGAAAAATCCATGTGATTTTGATAGGTGCCTATAGCTAACTTTTGCTCTCTAAACACTCTAACATTTATTCTAGGCTCCAAGCATACCACCTTCTACAGAATCTTCCTCAAGGGATAATAAACATACTGAAACACACTGTAAAAAAAAGGCCTCATGAAGTTTGTTGAAGACCTGGTTTCTATTAATCTATACAGTGTCTTCCTTTCTTTCCATGAATGCCTACAGAGACATTTTTCTCTGGTCTCAGTCCAGGAAACTGGTTTGTTTTTAGTTTTGAGACAATGTGAATCTTAATTATGACTTTCTCTTTTCATGTGACTACTGAGATCTTCAGCAAGCATATCAGAGTTCATGGCCTACATTTTATATACTTGGTACTCTCCTGCTTCACTGCCGCCTTCTTATCCTTATTTCTACACTGTTTCATTTTCTCATTAATTTATTACTTAGCATTGCTTTATGTAAATAATTAGTAAATAACTTCTAGAACAAGGTAGGTTATAAAAGTAAACTAATGTAGTCAGATCTACTGAATTTAGACCATCAACTTGAAAAGTGTCACAGACTGGTATTATCTTAATTATCTCTATATTGGTAAGGACTTTACTTATTTATAGATTGTGATCTTAAATATAAAACACACGTAATAAGCTAATGATAACTATTATATATGCATCATAAATTTATATAGCATTTATTAGATGGCAGAGATTCGATTTACCTTTGACTGATACTCATATGGGAAGGACTGATGTTGAAGCTGAAACTCCAATACTTTGGCCATCTGATTGGAAGGGCTGACTCATTTGGAAAAGACCCTGATGCTGGGAAAGATTGAGGGCAGGAGGAGAAGGGGACGACAGAGGATGAGATGGTTGGATGGCATCACCAACTCAATGGACATGAGTTTGGGTAAACTCCGGGAGTTGGTGATGGACAGGGAGGCCTGGCGTGCTTCAGTTCAGGGGGTCACAAAGAGTCGGACATGACTGAGCTACTGAACTGAACTGATACTCATATTTAACATTCCTGGCACTATGGCCAGAGAATCTGCAGATATGGCTAATCTTTAAAGAGATTTTAACCATTATTTATAACCAAGAATTTAAAGCATTCAAACATCAAATCTTGTTCAGAACAGCAAGAACAGAGAAACGGTATAGTTTTTAAAGATATTAACCATCATGTTTATATTAGACATGTTGAAAATTATTTTCGCAATGTGATTTTAATTATACTGTAGAAATTAATTTCTTTAATAGAGAAAGCAAATAAAGGAATCAAATGAAAAACAATATATAGTCTACTTACAACATTTAAGAATAATATATAGAAGTGAGACTGACAATTGTCAGAAGGGGACGGAGACTTTTAATTTTATGTTTTTATGTTTAAACTTTTACCAAGGAAGTCTCTTACTGAAAACAAAAAAGGAAAGAAGAAATCACAATGTTATTAGAATTGCTTTTCTCAGGGAACACTCCTACACTGTTGGTGAGAATATAAATTGGTGCAGCCACTGTGGAAAAATAGTATGGAGGTTCCTCAGAAAATTGAAAATAGAATTACCATATGAACCGGCAATTCCACTCCTGGGCATACATCCAGATGAAATTATAATTCAAAAAGATACACGCAGTCCCACGTTCATAGCAGCACTATTCACAATAGCCAAGACATGCAAGTAACGTAAATGTCCACTGACAAATGAATAAAGATGTGGTACATACATATGGAGTATTACTCAGCCATTAAAAAGAATGAAATAACTCTTTGCAGCAACATGGATGCCACTAGAGCTTATACTACGTGAAGTCAGAAAGACAAAGACAAATACTATATGATATCATTTATATAGAGAATCTAAAATATGATACAAATGAACCTATGGTGGCACAGTGGTAAAGAATCCGCCTGCCACTGCAGGAGATGCAAGAGATGCGGGTTCAATCCCTGGGTCAGGAAAATCCCCTGTAGAAGGAAATGGCAACCCACTCTGGTATTCTTGCCTGAGAAATCCCATGGACAGAGGAGCCTGGTGGGCTACATTCCATGGGATCACAAAGAGTCAGACACGATTGAGCACGCATGCACACACATGAAACAGAATCATGGACACAGAAAGAAGACTAGTGCTTGCCAAGGGGGAGGGATGTGAGAGAGGCTGGGGACTGGGAGTTGGGATTAGCATATGCAAACTGGCATACAGAGAATGGATAAACAACAAAGTCCTCCTGTAGCACAGGGAACTATATCAATATCCTGTGATAAACCATAATGGAAAAGAATATGAAGAAGAGTGTATATATAATACACAACTGAGTCACTTCATTGTACAGCAGTAACTGACACAGAATTGTAATTCAACTATACTTCAATAAAAAAAAAAAAATACAATCAGAAAAAAAAATGTTATGATCAAAAGAATCACAATAGCTTAAGTTACACCGAGTGCACTTTTTTGAAATTTCATTTTACAAATGAAAATATGTCTCTTTTTACATTGCCACAGGAAAATTTGCTTTGTCTCTCAATAACATAAAAGAAAAACATACTTTTTATATAAATATATACACAAGAATTGCTTTTCCCTACTGTTTTCATATCTACTCAATGCAAGTACTGAAGAGTAAAAAATAAAAAAAGTAAGAATGTTCCTGGTATAAATACCACCATAAATCATCAGCAAAAAAAGGACCTACCTTCTGTGTATCAATATCTTGTCTCATGATTCCCATTTCCTTATTAATCTTTTCTTTGTGTTTCTCGCATTCACTTAGTTGAGCTATTACTTTATTAAGTTCAGTTTCTTTTTGCTACAAAAAAGAAAATTTCTTAAGCACAAGAAATAAAAATATAACAAATCATTTTAAATTATATTCAATTAAGTAGTTTTAATTACCTTCTTATAGTCATCTTTTCCATCTTGAATATAATTCTCAATGTCTTTCATGTAACTGTGAATATTTTTAACCTTCTCTTTGATTTCATTTATCTGTAGAAAAATGCTTATTAAGTATTTGGAGTAGGCATTTAGGAAGATTTATTTCCAAGGAATATCTTACATTAAGGTAACAAAAACTTAACAGGAGCATACAGTGAAACATGGGCTTGGAGGTTAGAAATGCTGGGTTCCAGTTTCCATCACTGACACATTTTATCTCAAATCAAATTTTACAATCTCCCTTTATTACCTATGAGATTAGATTAAAAGCTCTCAATTCTCAAACTTCTATTAATAGTTTAAATAAAGAAGCAAAATAATACAAAAAAAGCAAAATAATTTATAATTAATCCTTATTTTAAAAAGATTATGTCACAAATCTTATTATGTCACAAATATTATTTTATCATGCTTTTAATTTCATGTGAAATATTAGTGTCCAACATGGTGCTATGAATATAATAATTTTTAAAAATGATTTTGGTAAATATATAATAAATGAAATCTTACTTTATCTTGTGCTATTTTGTGGCTTGTATTTTTCTTGTTGATTAATTCTTCTTTCTCCTGCTGAAATTTTTCCAATGTTGTTTCCAAAGGGCTTAGCTGCTCTTTAGCATCCTAAAGATATATAAAAAATAAGACCTTATATAATAGCATTACATTATCTTATTTCAGACTTCAGTCATAATAAAACCACTTTCTATGTACCAGGCTTTAAAAATCATTTAAATGATTAAATCATTCATTTGCTCCTTTCAACAACCCTATGAGGAAAGTACCATTATTTTCTTGCTAAATTCCAGATGAGCACAGAAATGATTTGTCCAGGGTCCCCAAAACCAGTAAAGGAAGGAGCCAGGATTCAGACCTCATTCAGCTCCAGAGGCACTCTTTTTTTTTCTTCCCCCAGAGGCACTCTTCTTTTTCCCCCCAGAGGCACTCTTTTAGCCATTATGTTATACTGTGTCAGCAAGTATATATGCTACACTGACTTGATTCTTTTTTTCTTTTCAAAATTTTAATTTTGTCTTGGGGTATAGCCAATTAACAACGTTGTGACAGTTTTAGATGAACAGGGAAGGGACTGAGCCATACATATACATGCATCCATTCTCCACCCCCCCCCCCAAACTCCTCTCCTATCCAGGCTGCCACTTAACATTGAGTAGAGTTCTATGTGCTACACAGTAGGTCCTTGCTGGTTATCCATTTTAAATATAGTAGTGTGTACATGTAAATCCCAAACTCTCTAATTATCCCTTTCCCTCATCACTCCCCAGCCCGGCAACCATAAATTCTTTCTCTAAGACTGTGAGTCTCCTTGTGTTCTGTAAGTTCATTTGTATCATTTCTTTTTAGATCATTGACTTGATTCTTAATCTATGCCATGTGCTTCCAATTATATGAGCAAGTGGCTTCAGGTATAAATTTTCCTGAGTTTGTAAGGGCCCATATCAGCTCTGTGTAACTGAAAAATAGGAAAGCTCTTTCAGTCCAGTGCTTTCTTTCACAGATGGAAATATGATCATAAAGGAACTTCTGACATTAAGCTTAGCTTGCTGAAGCTAAGTAGATATTTTATGGTAATTAAACCATACTAGTACACTGATGTAGGTGTGTCCTGACTTATTTTGGAAAGAAAGGGGTTTTCGAAAAACTATTTTAATCAGAAGTACACATCATTTGGCCTTGAAACATCTCTATAGCATAATATAATAACTGCTGTTCAAAACCATGATCCTCAAAAGATCCTGAAGTACCTCTTGAATTCATAAAGGTAGAAACAATTATTCAGAATTAGTTCAGTGTCAGTATATTTTATATTAGGAAGTGGTTTGGTGTGGTAGGAAGTCAAATGTCTTAAACATCATAAGATATATACCAGTAAATTAACTCTGCCTCCTACTAACTGTATGAACTTGGACAAATCATGGAATATCTGGAAGTCTGAACTTCTTTTTCTTTAAGAAGGAAATTTAGTCACATTTATCAAAAATGATACACTGAATGCAAAATAAGATACAACAGTTTAAATGTCACAGTGTTTTATAAGCAGTAAAGAAATAAAAAAAAATAAGGTAGTACTACTATTTATACTATATACCTCTGATATTCTGTAATCTAAATCTACTTAAGAAACATTTATAATAACAACAGATTCAGTAATATACTTAGTTCTTACTGAATGTGTATAATTATAAACCTAGATAAGATTATTTTTTCTAAAACTGTTCAAAAATTTAATTGGCTGAGTCTTAGGTTTGATTTGGGGCTTCCCTGGTGGTTTAGCTGGTAAAGAATCCACCTGCAAGCAATCCCACTCCTGGGCATACACACCAAGGAAACCAGATCTGAAAGAGACACGTGCACCCCAATGTTCATTGCAGCACTGTTTATAATAGCCAGGACATGGAAGCAACCTAGATGCCCATCAGCAGACGAATGGATAAGAAAGCTGTGGTACATATACACAATGGAATATTACTCAGCCATTAAAAAGAATACATTTGAATCAGTTCTAATGAGATGGATGAAACTGGAGCCCATTATACAGAGTGAAGTAAGCCAGAAAGATAAACACCAATACAGTATACTAACGCATATATATGGAATTTTTAAAGATGGTAACAATAACCCTACATGCAAAACAGAAAAAGAGACACAGATGTACAGAACAGACTTTGGGACTTTGTGGGAGAAAGCGAGGGTGGGATGTTCAGAGAGAACAGCATTGAAACAAGTATACTATCAAGGGTGAAAGAGATCGCCAGTCCAGGTTGGATGCATGAGACAAGTGCTCAGGGCTGATGCACTGGGAAGACCCAGAGGGATGGGATGGAGAGGGAGGTGGGAGGGGGATTCAGGATGGGGAACACATGTAAATCCATGGCTGATTCATGTCAATGTATGGCAAAAACCACTACAATATTGTAATTAGCCTCCAACTAATAAAAATAAATGGAAAAAAAAAAGAATCCGCCTGCAACACAGGAGACCTGGGTTTGATCCCTGGGTTGGGAAGATCCCCTGGAGAAGGGAACAGCTACCCACTCCAGTATTCTGGCCTGGATACAGTCTGTGGGGTCGCCAACAGTCGGACGCGACCGAGCAACTCTCACTTCCACTCTTCACTCAGGTGTGACTAAGCTAGGTGAGGGACGCCAGTGAGGTTCCATCCCATGTGTCAGCTCCGTGCCTGCTGACTGTAGTGGGAAGCATGCTGAAATTACATCTGGAATCAAAGAAAAGTGCTGTGTCTGAGAGGCAGTGTCTGCCATCCATGTAGGATTTTTAGATCAGACAAATCTCCAATACAAGTAGAAATCCTTATACGGAGTTAGCAGTCACCACCAGACTACCTCCAGTAATAGGAAGTTTACTACTTAACCAGGCAGCCAGTTCTTTCTTATTATGGCCAGTAAATCTTCTCCCAGAAGTCTTTACCTATAAGTTCTGTATACCATTTTGATTTAATTCTCACAATAACCATATTTTGGCCATTGTCCCAAAAAGAGCATTTCATATATCTGAACTAATTTTAAAAAACAAATACATATGAATGTTTTTACCTTTATTTCTCTGTGTAAGGACTGAACTTCAGTGGATAATTCCACAGTCTGTTCCTCTAGCTGCTGACGACGTTGTAAATTAGTGGATATCTGAAGTTTCTCTGATTTAAGTTCATTTGTTGTGCTTTTTAGGTGTTGAATCTGTTCCTGCTGGTCCTGTATAAGCTTACGGTTCAATTCTATCTTACTAGAAACTGCATGAGAACGCATCCATACAGTTAATGAAAGGGCACAGAAAACACCATAAGCAACATCTTTCTAGTTTATAGGTCTGTGACATTCACAAAGGCTGAGTTTCTGTGGGTCCCACCCACTGCAAGAAAAATGCCAGAACAATCTATCCAGCTCCCAAACCCGCCTGCTGTCCCAACACCCATGGGTGAGCTCACAGGGCAGGCATGACTGAGAAAGAGAACAGCTTATCTATTATTTGGGCTTCCCTTGTGGCTCAGCTGGTAAAGAATCCGCCTGCAATGCAGGAGACCTGGGTTCAGTCCCTGGGTTGGGAAGATCCCCTGGAGAAGGGAAAGGTTATCCACTCCAGTATTCTGGCCTGGAGAAATCCATGGGCTCTATAGTCCATGTGGTCGCAAAGAGACATGACTGAACGACTTTCACTTTCCATCTATTACTACTTATTCAAAAGTTCCTATTATTCAAAGTCTGTTCTGTAAAGAAAGGAGAGAGGAGAAGTGATGCTTTTGAGCAAAGAAAGTGACTATACCGTGGACTGGAAGACTGTTCCTTGTCCACATAATAGTTATAAAATTAATGGTAAAAACCATATGCTGGGAATGTTGAAGTTTTTATAAGGAAACACACTCTATTACCTGTATCTAATTTGTGTTGTTTTTCTTGTTTTTCCTGGTTTACTTGCTGAACACTTCGATCCAAATCTAGTCCTTGGAGTTTAGCTGCTTGCTGTGCAATTTTTCTTTCAACATCTTTTAGTTCCATCTTAAGAATAAATCAAAGTTATTTCCTTTAGGAAATTTATGGCATTATCATTATTCAAAATCTTTAAAAATTAACTGCTTTTAATTACTTTAAAAAATCTAATTTGTAACTGTTCTCAGATATAATTTTTAACAAATTTTAATATGATAAAAATGAAATTAATTTTAAGCTTCAGTCAGTCAGTTCAGTTGCTCAGTCGTATGCAACTCTGTGACTCCATGGACTGCAGCACACCAGGCTTCCTGTCCATCACTAATACCTGGAGCCTGCTCAAACTCATGTCCATCGAGTCAGTGATGCCATCCAATCATCTCATTCTCATCTCATCCTCTGTCGTCCCCTTCTCCTCCTGCCTTCAATCTTTCCCAGTATCAGGGTCTTTCCCAATGAATCAGTTCTTCACTTCAGGTGAAAAAAGTACTGGAGTTTCAGCTTCAGCATCAGTCCTTCCAATGAATATTCAGGACTAATTTCCTTTAAGATCAACTGGTTTGGCTCCTCACAGTCCAAGGGACTCTCAAGAGTCTTCTCCAACACCATAGTTCAAAAGCATCAATTCTTCAGTGCTCAGCTTTCTTTATAGTCCAACTCTCACATCCATACATGATTACTGGAAAAACCACAGCTTTGACTATATGGATCTTTGTCAGCAACGTACTGTCTCTCCTTTTTAATATGCTGTCTAGGTTGGTCATAGCTTTTCTTTCAAGGAGCAAGCGTCTTTTAATTCCATGGCTGCAATCACCATCTGCAGTGATTTTGGAGCCTAAGAAAATAAGGTCTCTCACTGTTTCCCCACCTATTAGCCATGAAGTGATGGGACTGGATGCCATGATCTTAAGTTTTTTGTATGTAGAGTTTTAAGCCAGCTTTTTCACTCTCCTCTTTCACTTTCATCAAGAGGCTCTTTAGTTCTTCGCTTTCTGCCTTAAGGGTGGTGTCATATGCTTATCTGAGGTTATTGATATTTCTCCTGGCAATCTTGATTCCAGTTTGTGCTTCATCCAGCCCGGAATTTTTCATGATGTACTCTGCATATAAGTTAAATACGCAGGGTGACAGTATACAACCTTGACGTACTCCTTTCCCAACTTGGAACCAGCCCATTGTTCCACAGCTGGTTCTAACTGTTGCTTCTTGACCTGCATACAGATTTCTCAGGAGGCAGGTAAGGTGGTCAGGTAGTCCCATCTCTTTAAGAATTTTCCACAGTTGGTTGTGATCCACACAGTCAAAGGCTTTGGCATAGTCAATACAGCAGATGTTTTTCTGGAATTCTCTTGCTTTTTCTATGATCCAACGAATGTTGGCAATTTGATCTCTGGTTCCTCTGCCTTTTCTAAATCCAGCTTGAACATATGGAAGTTGACAGTTCATGTACTATTGAAGCTTGGCTTGGAGAATCTTGAGCATTACTTTGCTAGCATGTGAGATGAGTGCAATTGTGCGGTAGTTGGAACGTTCTTTGGTATTGCCTTTCCTTGGGATTGGAATGAAAACTGACCTTTCCCAGTCCTGTGGCCACTGCTGAGTTTTCCAAATTTGTTGGCATACTAAGTGCAGCTCTTTCACAGCATCATATTTTAGGATTTGAAATAGCTCAACTGGAATTCCATCACCTCCACTAGCTTTGCTCATAGTGAAGCTTCCTAAGGCCCACTTGACTTCACATTCCAGGATGTCTGGCTCTAGGTGAGTGATCACACCATTGTCATTATGTGGGTCATGAAGATCTTTTTTGTGTAGTTCTTCTGTGTATTCTTGCCACCTCTTCTTAATATCTTCTGCTTCTGTTAGGTCCACACCATTTCTGTCCATTATTGTGCCCATCTTTGCATGAAATGTTCCCTTGGTATCTCTAATTTTCTTGAAGAGCTCTCGAGTCTCTTAATTTTATGCTTAAGTTAATTTAAATGATGAAAATAAAAGGCATCTTCCCAGGTGGCTCAGTGGTAAAGAATCTGCCTGCCAATGCAGGAAACATGAGACATGGGTCTGATTCCCGGGTCGGGAAGATCTGTGGAGAAGGAAATGGCAATCCACTCCAGTATTCTTGCCTGAAAAGATTCCCATGGAGAGAGGAACCTGGTGCGCTACAGTCCATGGGGCCACAATGAGTCAGACCTAACTGACTATTGGATTAAAGGAAGCAGACTAAAGCCAATTAAAGGAAGCAGACTAAAAAAGAAAAATAAACACAATTCTCCTAACTTATGGATAAAAAGAACTAAACTCAGAAATGTAAGTTAAGCAGTTACTCCCTGAAACTACCTGAAATTCAGAATAGGGAACACAATTTGTACCAGAAAACTAGCTATTTAAACACTCACATGTCATTTTCAAACCACCATGAAACAAGTTTTATTCAGCGTTAAATTGCAGTAACTGTACCTGGAGCCTCTCCATAATTGTAACATCTGTCAGACACACTTTAGCACTTTCTTCCTCAGGTATAATTGCACCCAAGAGTGTTTCCTGTTCTTCTATGTCATTCTTGAGGCGCTGTATGTCTCTGTTCACATTCTGCAGTTTATTTCTTAATTCTGGTATTTCCTTCTCCTTCAAATCAATTATGCTTTGCCTTCACAAAAACACAATTAAAAATAAGCAATGTAATGTTTCTTCATAAGGAGATGGAGGTTACATATTTTTGGCAAGAATACCATAGAAGTGATGTTGTATCCTTCTCAGGGCATCTTTAGTGGGCACATGATGTCATTATGTTACTCTTACTTAGTAAAGACAGTGTCAGCCAGATTTATCCATTGTAAAGTTACTATTTTTCTCTATGTAATCAATAAAAACCTAGGAGAAATACACTGAAGACAATGTAAACATTCTGTTTTTCCTCAAACCTTTGTCCACCGATTTTAGTACCTATTGAGAGATCTTGAGAGCAACAATTTTACCATGCTGTCTGCCAAACTGAAGGATATTTTACAAATTACCAAGACCATACTCATCAGAAGTGTCAAGATCATGAAAGACAAAGAACTATGGTAGACCACACAAGAGCCTAAGGATAAATATTAATAACAAGGATAATTAATACATGCAATGTGGAGATCCTAAGTTGGATCCTGAAATAGAAAAGGGATATTAACAGAAAGACTGCTAAAATTCAAATGTGGTTTGTAGTTTAATAGAATTACACCAAAATTAATTTCTTGATTTAGATAGCCATATTATGGTAACATAAATTGAGAACATCAGGAGAAACGGGGTGAAGGATATATGTGAACTCTCTGTACTACCTTTGTAAATTTTAAGTGTAAAATTACAAATTAAAATCACAAAATTAAAAACTTTAAACGTTAGAAAAATGAAGGATGGAAGAAAAGAAGGAAGGAAGGAAGGAAACCATTCAGTCAAATGCTACATGGGTTTACGGTACAAAAGCTGTTAAACCCACTTTTCTACTGCTACTCTAGCCAATGAATTAATCACCCCTGTGGCAGGTACTGGCCCCAAACCTGTTTTTGTTAATACCTTGGAAACAACAAAATTTGTATTTAATCTGAAAAATAAAAAGCTATTAAGCTTATTTCAGAAAAGTTTTAAATTCTTAATCAAAATCAAATTAGTATGATAAATTAAACTGATTTCTAATGAGAATCTTATAATAAACTAGAAACTCAAGCATTAGCTATTACACTGTTATTACTTAATGATTTTCTAAAAGTCCACACTACGACCAAGAAATGCCAATCAACCAATCTGTGGTGACAAAAGACCTGTAATCTTTTATACAAGAGCAATGAAAAACTTTCCTGAATAAAGATGAATGTATTCCCAGATTATGAATAATTCATGTTCACATTATTTCCTGATGTTATGGACCCTAAGTTTGTCTTAAGTTATGTGCCCACTACCTAAAAAGTGACAAAGTTACAACAGCCTAATGACAATCAAGCATTCACTTGACTGGGTCATCTTTGTGGAGAACTACAGGTATCCATTAAATTTTAACCCCATTTTTACATTTGCATACATACATAGACGTGGTCTATGTAAAAAAATAGCAGTAAAAAATAGCAGCAACACTATGACCAATAAAAAACAGCAGAAGTAACACTATGACAGTTTCTGGGCCCAGGCCTTAACACATTTGCTATTAGAATACTTCCTGTGGTAACCTAGCCACTATGCTGCCAGAAGTCCAAGACACAGGTGGAAGCCACATGAAGGCATTCTGTGTGACAGCCCAGGTAAGCCCGTGGCCAATCGTCAGCATCACCACCAACCATATGAGTGAACCATCTTGAATGTCCAGGCCAATAGAGCCTCAGATGAGCTCCTAGCCAACAGTCAGCATCATCACCGGCCACATGAGTGAACTCTACTGAATGTCCAGGCCAGTAGAGCCTTGAAATGACTGCAGCCAACATCTGACTGCAATTGCATGAAATACCCCAAATAAGAACTACTTCAGTTCAGTTCAGTTCAGTCGCTCAGTTGTGTCCGACTCTTTGTGACCCCATGAATCGCAGCACGCCAGGCTTCCCTGTCCATCACCAACTCTCGGAGTTTACTCAAACTCATGTCCATCGAGTCAGTGATGCCATCCAGCCATCTCATCTTCTGTTGTCCCCTTCTCTTCCTGCCCCCAATCCCACTTAGTTAAGCCCAATTTCCCACAGAACCATGGAAGATCATAATAAATCATTGTTGTGAGGTACCAAGTTCTGAGGGGGGGTTGTTAAGCAGCAATAAACACATGGAACTACAGTTACTAGAGTTCTTATTCATTCAGCAAATAGTTACTTACCAAATTTACAAAACACAAAGAATTATGGAGGCACAACAATGCATAAGATACGTACCTTACTCTGACAAGGGGAGCTATGTTGGCAAGGGTCCTAAAATATTAATACAGTGTTGATTTCTGCTCTTCATAATTTACCAGTTTGACACAGAACTACATGCACTTTCCACCAACTTCTAATTTTATCTTTCACTTAATGTCTTTCTTTTTAAGATCTTGCCTTATTCCTTTTCATTCTCAAATTATTGCTTTTGTCACCATATGACATGCTCTCTGTAGCCCCTAATGATCTGGTTTTTATTCTTGATGATTATATTAGTTATCTATCACTACATAACACAACACCCCAAAACTTAGCAGCTTAAAACACAATAGCACTTATTTCCCACAGATAGGAGGATTAGCTGCTACTTGGGTATTTTTGACTCAGGGTGTGTTACTGAAGGTGCGGTCAAGCTGTGAGCTGCAGTCATCTGAAGGTATTACTGCTGGAAAATCTGCTTCCAAATGGTACACTCACTCATGTGGTTGTTCAAAGGCCTCAGGTCCCCACCAAGTGGGTCCCTCCACAGGGCTGCTCACAACACAGCAGCTGGCTTCCCCCAGATCCAAGAGAAAGAAAAGGAGAGCGGGAAGCTATGGTGTCTAATATAACCTGATCCTCGAAGGAACCTGTGATCACTTCTGTTGTATTTTACTGGTTACATATCCTGGAACCCATCCTGGAACATGAGACAACTATGCAAGAATGTGAATACCAGGAGGCAAGGATCACTGGGGACCATCTTACAGGCTGGCTACCACAAAACATCTTCTTGCATCTTTCCTTCTCCTTTTCCTTGCACTCCTCTTCAGTTTTCCAAGTCAACATACCTCCTCCTTTTTTGCTTTTAGAGTTTTTCTCACTTTCATCCATTCAATGTATTAACATTAGATTAAGTTTCCTAAAACACATTTTTCATTAAATCCCTGAGGATGGCTCCCCATCACCTAAAAGACAGAGCTGTAACTAGGAATGAACATAATGCAGCTCTGTCTTCCCTACTTACGGGAATCAGTCACTACAAATAAGTTCTCAAAGTCCAGATAATGTTTCTAGTGCAGCACATGTCTCACTCTTCCCTGTCCTTTATACACACTGGTCTAATTCCCCTCTCCCCTTTCCTTCTCTTTAATGAGTCAAATCAACTTTTCTATGCTTTACATTCCTCCTCCTTCCCTCAAAATACTACCCTCATGCTATAGTCCACTGGCTTCTTTCTTCCTAACTAATGCATTTTCTTACAAAGATCATCAGCTCCATGAAGCTCATGTCTTATTGGTCTCTGTAACCATTTTTGTGCTCTATGTTCTGGGAAATGCCAAGGCAATCTGCACATACTCTCTGACTTGATTTTATTTATAAATAGACCATCATCTGGATTTCTTATAGAAGAGAGGGAAAAATAAACAATAGAAATCATCTATAATTCATTCTTTCTGGAAGTGAGAAAAACCTAAGTATAGTTTAAAATTTGTCTCTTAAGGGGGGCTTTCCAGTACTTTAATTCTTCTGCTGGGTTTAGAAAGTGACACATCAGCAAATAGTCTGAAAATTTAGATTTTAAAATTTCTGCTCTCAACCCAAGTCTCAGGAATGAAACACACACACACACTCACAGAGTAAAGAATGTACCCATCCTGTGAGTAGTTTAAGAAACAAACTTATTTTGAAAGAAAACAATTCTTTCTTATCACATAAATTAACAGGGAAGGAACATTCTGGCTTAGATTCCTGACTTTAACCTTTATTCATTCAACTCTTGCTAACTGAATACCCACCCTATGCTAGGAGGTAGACAGGTATCTCTTACAGTGCTGCTATACAGGCACGGTAATGGGAAATTGCTATTCTCACCTCATGGGCACTAGTCCCAGCATTTCATCACGCCGCTTTTCTTTCTTCTTTAGCTCTGATTCTGTCGACTTGAGCTTATCTGGAGCAAGCCTCAGCTTGGACTGCAAATCACTGATGACTTCTTGTAATTCAGCTTCTGTCTGAAAACCTCTCTGACAGACAGGGCAACACGACTGGTTTTCGTCCGTCAACTGAGTAATGAATTGGGAATAAACTGCCGTAGCTCCAGCTAACATGGCTATTTAAAAAACATATATATATATATACACACACTCAGTGAGATGCATATAAAATATGGTTTTGTTAATATATTTCTATCCTTTTCTGTAAATACATGATACTCTTCTTGCTTTATAAACACACTATGAAAGAAATAAAAATTCTGACATTTAAATCTTCTCAAGGGCACAATACATTCAGATTTATATAAATTATATTCTGGTAACACAAAAAGTATAACAAAACTTATAGAGAGTGTTATGTGCCAGACACTATAATCTCATTTACTCCTCCCCAACATCCTAGGCAATTATGTCCTCAGGTAATGAATCTGAAGTATAAAAAGTTTCAATAATCTGTCCAAAGTCATAAAGCAAGTAGGCTGTAGAACCAGAAGTGAAACTTGAGCCACCTGGCTCCAGCACCAAGTTTTTAAATCTCCCATCCTTAACAGCTACCTGTGAACAAAAATTCAAAAACATGAAAATGTCCTGATAACATAAAGAAGGTAACTTACCTCGTTGTTTTGATGATTTTTCAATTTCTTCTTTAAGTCTGTCCAAGTCATTTTCAAAATCCTGGCTACCACAGACATCAAACAGTTTGTCTTCATAGCTGGACAACTGTTCTTCCTTCCTTTTTAGCTCAATATTTATATGATTTTTATTTTGCTCAGCTGAAGCTAGTTCCTTGCTAAAATAAGAAAATAGATTACAATTTTAAAATATGAGAAATGAATTCAAAGTGTGAAGGCAGATACAAGACAAACTCTGCCAGAAAATACTACAAAAGTCTGCTGTGACCAAGTGCTTTTTTTTTAGAAGTCATGGCAACAGCCCACTACTGCCTGCACTCTACTCCTACAGTACACTGACTCGCTCTGGTCAGACACCCGCTCCCAGAAAAATGTGTACAACCGAACTCTGCTTGGTTTGAGGGGGATCATGGTCTTAGATCTTGCATTAAGAACCTTAGCAAGGAGAATATGCTTCACAGATCTACTGGAGGGAGATTAGAAAAAAGGAGAGCATTCACTTAACTCTGTGTGAACCCTTTCCAAACTGTACTTCTATTCCCTCCAGTAAAAAATTTTTCCTTTGTTCCCTCTTTGTTGCTGTCATCCAATGAGTTGGCCAAAAGGTTCCTTTGGTTTTAAAGTAAAAATAAAAGACACATTTTTCAATTTCACCGAGAACTTTACTAAACAATGTATTTGCTGTTTTGTTCCACTACCTCCTGCCATTTTCTAAACAACTCATAATTCCATCTTCTGAAAAACTTTTTATCTTTTTGAGTAAAGAACTAGTTTGTTCCAGGTGCCTTTTATGGTCTTCCAAAGAACTGAAATTTTTTCCATTAAGAGAATTTCAGTTGGTTTAATTTGCAGCTGTACTTGTTGGAACTGTTTGATTTTTTGGAAAGAGTTAATAGTAGAGGACTCACTTCCAATCCCACCATATACACAATATCAACTTCTCTGGATGAAGATTGGTCTTTGGTGTGTTCACTTTCCTTGACCCACGATCTCTTCCATTCCACATTATTGTACAGTATCCACTCTTCATTGCCTGTCACAATTTCTTTTAAAAATGGAACTTTTTGTTATGTTTAAGTAGAGAATTGCATGTGGAAATATGGTCAAGAAGGTTTTTTTTCACTAATTTATGTGGAAGCCAAACATCAAATTGATTAACACAACCAAGCTGGTGCAAATGATTTTCAGCTTGATGTGGATATTTTGAATATATCAGATATATCTCGCATGACATAACATTGACTGTTTTCAACCAGAGTACCTTCTCTATATATGGCACAAATCATTTTGGTGTTTCAGTTGCATTTTTACTTTTCTTGAAATAACAAAGCATAATATGTGAAAATATTGCTTTTCTCTTTCATCTTCAATACTAAAATGGCTACACAAAATTCACCAATTTGGGGACATTTTATTTATTTATTTTAAAAAGCATGCTAACGGGACAGCTGTCACAATACAATCTAACAAAATCACTCTGAATGAAGTTAAAGACAACTAGAGCTACCAGAGCCATCTCAGAGGAAAAACCGAACAAACATCTTGGCCAAACCAGTTTTTACAACCTGATCACTCATTCCCTCTCATTCACCAAAGAAAGACTTTGCTCACTAGTACAATTAATTTCCACTCCAACTCTTAAATATTATCCTAGCCAGCCTCCGTGCCCATACAAATCAGGGGTTTTCAATGTACAGGTTTTGACACATTAGGTAAGTCATGTAATCAATTTAATGTATTATAATCAGCATATTTTGAAAAACTGAATATACTATGCAGAATATATTGGAGTGGATTAAGCGTAGTTAGTACTGCTACTATTTTAAGAAATTTGTTTCAGATAAATATGCATGAGTGCACACATGCCTCATCTTGATACTTTCCATTGTAAGTTGCAGTAAAAATTTGGAAATAAAATAATGTGCAGATGATGCTTTCACCATCCTAGATATTGAGCACTGCTCATTAAGATCACTATTTTAACAGCACCACAAACATTTGGGCTCCTCCTTGGAAGAATATTTTCTCAAGGCAAACCAGACAACACTTCTCTCTTGCTTGCACCCTGGCTCCCTGGGCATTTGGTTCTCTTGCTTCCTCTTCCTTTGCTTGCCAACAGTTTAAATGCTGATGTTTTCCAGGAATCTGACTACAATTCTTTCTCTTCTCTTTGAATAACTCCAAGTTGACATGTACTACTGACACCAACATCATTTGCAAAGCAACAACTTCCAATCTACTAAACCTCAAACTCCAATATTTTATTCCCTAACAGACATTTCCACAAGAAATATAAATTTAACATGGCCAAACTCACCATCTTCCTCAAAAATGTGTGGGATTTTTGACCTTCCTATCTAAACACCACTCAAGGTGATATTTGAAAAAATTGATCACTTTTTTTAAACTGTGGAAAAAACAAAATTTAACACCTTACCCATTTTAAATTGTACGGCATGGTGGTGTTAACTGTATGCACATTTCTGTGTAACAGATCTCTAAAGCTTTTTCATCTTACAAAACTGAACTCTATACCCACTGAACAACACACCCCACCCCACCCCGCCCTCATCCTCTAGCTACTCTGAACCTCCAATATATATACTTTCTGTATCTAAGAGTTTGACAGCTTTGAATACTTCATTTAAGTGGAACCATGTAGTACTTCTTGTGACTAGTGTACCTCACTTAATACCCTCAAGGTTTCTCAACACACAGGATTTCCTTCTCTTACAAAGATAAATAATACTCCATTATACATACACCAAATTTTATTTATCCATCCATCAACAAGCATTCAGGTTGCTTCCACCTGTTGGCTATTGTGAATAATGCTGCAGTGAACATGGACTAACAAATATTTCCTTGAGATCATGTTTTCATTTGAATATATACCCACAAGTGGAACTGCTCAATCATCTGGTTATTCTTTTCCTAATTTTTGAAGAACCTCCAAGGTTTTCTATAGTAACTGCACCATTTTACATTCCCACGAATAGTGCGCAGAGTTCCAATTTCTCAATATCCTCACCAACACTTGTTTTCTGGGTTTTTTAAAAACTTATTTAATTGAAGTATAGTTGAATTACAATGTGTCAGTGTTAGCTGCACAGCAAAGTGATTCTGTTATATACATATTACTCTTTCATTTTCTATTATAGGTTATTATAACCCACTACTGTATTTCCTGTTGTTTTGATAACTATCATCCTAACCAGTATGGAGTGATATATCACCATGGTTTTGATTTGCATTTCCTTAATGATTAGCGATTCTGAGTATCTTTTTATATGCTTGTTGGCTAGTTGTATATCTATTGGAGAAATTGCTCTTCAAGTCCTTTGACATTTTTTAATTTGGGTATTTGTTTTTTCATTACCAAATTGTAGGAGTTCTTTATATATTCTGGATATTAACCCCTAATAATACTGTCCATATTGTTCATGGAAAAGGCAAAAAGATACGACACCGGAAGTTGAGCCCACCAGGTTAGTAGGGGTCCAATGCTACTGGGGGTAGTGAAGAAATAGCTCTAGAGAGAATGAAGAGGCCGGGTCAAAGTGGAAATGACGCTCAGCTGTAGATGCATCTGGTGGTGAAAGTAAAGTCCGACGCAATAAAGAACAATATTGCATAAGAACCTGGAATGTTAGGTCCATGAATCAAGGTAAATTGGACGTGGTCAAGCAGGAGATGGCAAGAGTGAGCATCGACACTTTAGGAAACAGTGAACTAAAATGGATAGGAATGAGCAAATTTAACTCAGATAACCGTTATATCTACTACTGTGGGCAAGAATCCCTTAGAAGAAATGGAGCAGCCCTCATAGTCGATAAGTCAGTCCAAAATGCAGTTGATGTTGGTGTTCAGTTGCTCAGTCATATTGACTCTTTGCAACTCCATGGACTGCAGCATGCCAGGCTTCCCTGTCCTTCACCATCTCCCGGAGTTTGCTCACACTCATGTCCATTGAGTTGGTGATGCCATCCGATCATCTCATCCTCTGTCGCCCCCTTCTCCTCATGCCCTCAATCTTTCCCAGCATCAGGGTCTTTTCCAGTGAGTCAGCTCTTCACATCAGTGCAGTACTTGGGTGCAATCTCAAAAACAACAGAATGATCTCGGTTTGTTTCCAAGGCAAACCATTCAATATCACTGTAATCCAAGTCTGTGCCCCAACCATTAATGCCAAAGAAGCTGAAATCATACAGTTCTGTGAAGACCTACAAGACCTTCTAGAACTAAAACCAAAAAAAGATGTCCTTTTCTTCACAGGGGAATGGAATGCAAAACTAGGAACTCAAGAGACACCTGGAGTAACAAGCAAGTTTGGCCTTGGAGTACAAAATGAAGCAGGGCAAAAAATAATGGAGTTCTGCCAAGAGAACGCACTGGTCATAGCAAACACCGTCTTCCAACAACACAAGAGACAACTATACTCATGGACATCACCAGATGGTCAATACCAAAATTAGACTGATTATATCCTTTGCAGCCAAAGATGGAAAAGCTCTACACAGTCAGCAAAAACAAGACCTGGAGCTGACTGTGACTCAGATCATGAACTCCTTATTGCAAAATTCAGACTTAAATTGAAGAAAGCAGGGAAAACCACTAGACAGTTCAGGTATGACCTAAATCAAATCCCTTATTATTATACAACGGAGATGACAAATAGATTCAAGGGATTAGATCTGGTGGACACAGTCCCTGAAGAACTATGGATGGAGGTTCGTAACACTAGCAGTGATCAAAACTATCCCAAAGAACAAGAAATGCAAGGAGGCAAAATGGTTGTCTGAGGAGGCCTTATATATAGCTGAGAAAAGAGAAACACAAGGCAAAGGTTCTGGGAAAGATATTCCGTTGGGATATGAATGCAGAGTTCCAGAGAGTATCAAGGAGAGATGAGAAAGCCTTCATAGATGAACAATGCAAAGATAAAAAAGGAAACAACAAAATGGGAAAAACTACAGATCTCTTTAAGGAAACTAGAGATACCAAGTGAATATTTCAGGCAAAGGTGGGCATAATAAAGGACAGAAACAGCAAGGTCCTAACAGAAGCAGAAGAGGTGTCTAGAATACACAGAAGAACTACAAAAACAGGTCTTAATGATCCAGATAATCATGACAGTATGGTCACTTAGATAATATATTAAAAAGCAGAGACGTCACTTTGCCAACAAAGGTCCATAGTCAAAACTGGTTTTTCCCTGGTGGCTCAGACAGTAAACAATCTGCCTGCAATGCAGGAGACCCAAGTTTAATTCATGGGTTGAGAAGATCCCCAGGAGAAGGGAATGGCTACCCACCAGTATTCTTGCCTGGAGAATTTCAAGGACAGAGGAGCCTGGCAGGCTAGTTCATGGGGTTGCAAAGATTCAGACACAACATGATTGACTTTCATCATTTCATTTCATAGTTTTTCCAACAGTCATGTATGGGTGTGATAGCTGGACCATAAAGAAGGATAAGTGCTGAAGAATTGATGCTTTCGAAATGTGGCGCTAGAGAAAACTCTTGAGAGTCCCTTGGACAGCAAGGAGATCAAACCAATCAGTCCTAAAGGAAATCAACCTTGAATATTCATTGGAAGGACTGATGCTCAAACTGAAGCTCCAATACTCTGGCCACCTGATGTGAAGAGCAACTCACTGGAAAAGACCCTGATGCAGGGAAAGACTAAGGGCAGGAGGAGGGGGCAACAGAGGATGAGATAGTTGGATGGCACCACCAACTCCATGTACATGAGTTTTAGCAAAGTCCAGGAGACAGTGAAGGACAGGGAACCCTGGCATGCTGCAGTCCATGGGATTGCAAAGAGCTGAACATGACTTAGTGACTGAACAACCACCACCACACCTAAACAGATATATCATTTGCAAACGTTTTCTCCCATTACGTGGATTACCTTTACCCTCTGTTGTGTAGCAGTTTTTAAGTATGATGTAGTCCCATCTGTCTAGTTTTGCTTCTGCTGCCTGTATTTTTGGGGTCATAAATAAGAAATCACTGCCAATTTCAACATAATGAAACTTGTCCCCACATTACCTTTTAGGAGTTTTGTATTTTCAAGTCTCACTTTTTACAGAGGAATATTTTAATTCTTTCTCTTAGTTCTGCAAACTTTTAAGGAACAAGAAGCTCAAATCACTGTTGCCATTTTACTTAATTTGTAAAATATAGGAGAATCAAAGTCAATTAATAAGACATACCATTTCATGACAATAAATCATTTCAAAACAATTAAAAATGAAAGCATGACATAAGAGACTTCTATTACATCTTCAAATGTTATAACTACTTACTTCAACTTGGCAAGTCTGTCCCTGGTCTGATTAATTTCTTTTGATTTACTATGAAGCCAGTCTTCAAGCTGTTTTTTGTTGGGAAAATATCCTAACAATGAAGTCAATTCATCACTATGCCTGTATTTTATTTTTCTGATTTGTTCATCTTTGTCAGCCTAAAGGGAAAAAAAATCTTTTAAAATAATAAAACTCAGTATCTCCACATAAAGAATAAAACCAAATTTTAGACTGATTACAGTTCTAGGCTTAAAAATAAAACTGAAAATGCAAAGAGAAAAAGAAAAAAAAATCATTTTTAATTTTGGCTGTGCTATGCAGCTTGTGCAATATCTCAGTTGCCTCACCAGGGACTGAACTGGACCATGGCAGTGAAACTGCCAGTAATACTTGGCCACCAGGGAACTCTTGAAAACTTCCTACAGTATTAGAGGAAAGAATAACAGGTCTGATGACACAAAAATTAAAACTTCGGTACATGTATGCTCAGTCTCTCAGCCATGTCTGACTCTGCGACCCCACGGACTTTAGCCTGCCAGGCTCCTCTGTCCATGGAAGTGTCCATGGAAGAATACTGGAATAGACTGCCATTCCCTTCTCCAGGGGATCTTCCCGACCCAGGGATCGAACCTGAGTCTCTTGAGCCTCCTACACTGGAGGCAGATTCTTTACCACTGAGTCACTTGGGAAGATCAAAATTTCCGTATGATATACGTTAAAAATTAACAGAAATGTCCATGTGTGTGTTTGTGTAAATACTTTTGTACTGGTTTTTTTTTTGTAATTAGAGTACAGTTTTTAAGCCTGAAAGTCTATTTTATAGAGCATAAAGCTCACTTAACCCTTAAAATATAAAGCCCATACCAACTAAATACTTCATAGTTATGAATGTAAGATAAACTGTTTTAAACACCAGAGAGTATGATTAGAATAAAAAGAAAGGTCATACTTTGTCTTTGGTGAGCATCTCCATCTGGGTACGTGTTGCTGTATGATGGTTTAACTGCTCCATCTCCTGGTCCAATTTACGCAGGGTCCTGTCTAGGTCTGCTTTCTCATTTTGAAGGCTTATTACTTCTGTTTTTAGAATTTCTACATTGCTGTTTTTCTCAGCCTTGCTTAGCTCACGTTCCTTATTGATAATTCAAACAAATGGACAGGTTTAAACATTTTGGGTTAAAATGATGGCAAAGTGTATTAGAAATCAGCTACTCCTCAGAATGGTCAAAATACTACTTTGATTTTATTCAACAACAGAAAAACAGAAGGAAACTTTTTAAGAAATATTTTACAAAGTTACCTTACTATAAGAGCAAAGACTTAGTAAATAAATCTACAAGAGTCAAACAGGAGTGAAAATGAAAATTAGTTCAAAATTAAGAAAAATATGCCTAAGTATACAGTTCAGTGACTCTTCAGTCAATAATTAAGCATTTATCAAGGAAGTAAGTAACTCACTACCCAATGCCTAGCATACAGAAAATGTGATGTGGTCCCTGACCAGTATCTCTCCATCACAACAGTGCAATATTGTGATCAACGGTTAAACTGACAAAATTATATGTTAAGTTTGGGAGCAAAAAGAAACATTTAAATAATCAAGATGGGACCAAAAGCGGGGATTTGTCAAGTTTTAGGATGCTTATTTTGCTAACAAAGACACGAGGGAAGGGAACAGATTAGGAACAGAGAAGAAATTTTGGAAATTCACAGAAGGAAGAAGTGGGCTAAGAAAGTTTCTACCACAGAAAAAGTGGTAACATGGCAATAATCATATATCTAATCATATATTTAATCATAATATCTACAGTGTGTGGAACCTAGAGGGAAAATACTACTTTTTAAAAACTGAGACAAGTGGTTCTCAACTACTCGTAAGAACCACCCAGTTCTGTTTTGAACACACATTTCCACATCCCACTCTTAAAAGAGACTTTTATTTGGAAGGTTTAAGGTCTAAGTTTAAGTATTTTTTTTAAACCTTCCTTAGATGATTCTAATTTTCAGCACAACAGGTTTCAAGATTAGAGATGGGTGATTAAGACAGCCAAATAAATTCATTTTATAGGAGACTGATAGACAAAGTTGACATTTTTATTAAAATGCCGTAATCTTAGGACTAGCAAAAGATAAAATACTTCCAAATATCTTACACCTTAAAACTACTGGATTACACAGAGTATCTTACAGCTTTTGTGAGCTCCTGGTCCAGTTCAAGAATCCTGTCTGAAGAGCCTTCCAACTGCTGTAATTCGTACTTCACATTTTTCAGCTCATTCTGCTTCTTAGTTAGGATTTCTGACTTTAGCTCAATTATTCTTCCCAGTCCAGTTTTCTTATCCCTTATCTCATCTATTTGTTTTTGTTTCAGAGCCTCTTTTCCTGCGAAGTCATTCTAAATACATAGCAAGAAGCGTAAGCATCAATTTTTCACAAAAAAACACCACTAAGGAAAATTTTCTTTGATGCAAAAGTAATATAATCTGAGGAAAATACAGAAAGAATTTTTACCTAAAATCAAATAAGAAACGTATGTCTGTATTTCCTTTGTACTTTTATAACTATAAACTTTACAAAATTTGCTTCCATAAAAGTTTTATTTTACCTCTGGCTAATTTTAATGGATAACATTAATACAAAAATACGACAAAATAAGATCCACCCCAAAATTAAAACAATTCAACTAGACAATGTGATACAAACAGAAAATAACAGTATTTACCAACAGATGGCTAGCAGTTTCTGCTTCCTTTTCCTGCCTCTCTCTCACAAGCTTGTGAAAATTTTTTATCTGTCTTTCACTGAATGGTCCAAGCTCAAAGCCATCCAATTCTAGTTGTGTTGCCAAAGACTGAATTAATGAATCTCTAGCTCGCATATGCTCCTGATGACGATCTGCTTGTAGTTGTAGACGGCCTTTAAAAAATATAATCATAGTAATTCTTTTATCAGTTGATTTTTTTAAAAAATTAAGATAATTGTACATTACATGCAATTGTAAAAAAAATAATAGAACAAGATATCTTATATCCTTTGCTCAGTTTCCCCAATGGTAACTATATTATTGAGATACAGTAAGAAATTCATATTTGGTTTTGTCCTTGGTTATTGATACAGAGCTCCAAAAACTCAGAATTTCCCAGTGACAGGGGTGAGAAGAGTATCTTTGGTTATTCATTGTAAGCCCTTTTCAACTTTACCTGAGTTTATTCTAATAAGGTGACTCTTGGAGGATGGGACTTGGTCATCAGAGGAACCAACTATGTGATTAGAGAGTCCGAAGTTTCAATATCCACCCCTCCCATTTCTGGGGAGGGGCTGAAGTCTGAGTTCAATCACCAATGGCCAATGACTTCATCAATCAGGCCTACCTAATGCAACTTATAAAAACCCTAAGCAATGACACTCAAAGAGCTCCCATTGGTGCTGGGCAAGTCGCACATGTGGAGAAGGCATGGAAGCTCAACGTCCCTCTCCCCTATCTTGCCCTATGCACGTCTTCCATCTGTTTGTTCCTGAGCGCTATTCTTAATAACCTGGTGATAGCGTTTCCCTGAGTTCTGGGAAGTTATAGAAAATTACTGAACCTGAGAAAGGAGTTGTGGAAATCCCTGATTTATATGGCTATAAAGCCAGTTGGTCAGAAGTACAGGTGCTAGACAACCTGGGACTTGGGAGCAGCATCTGAAGTAAAGTGAGGGACAGTCTCACGGGACTGAGTCCTTAATCTGTGGGGTCTGTGCTAATTTCAGACCAGGAGTGTCAGAAATGAATGAAATTACAGGACACCTGGTATCCACTGATAACTGGAAAATTGCTTGGTGTGGAAAAACCTACACATCTGATGTCAGAACTGTTGTTGAGTAGAAAAACAATGTTCTCTTTTAGTCACTTTGCAAAACTAGATCACAATAAGAATAATGACATTAATACAATCCATCAATCTTTTATCTCCCCAGTTTAAACTGTATCTGTGTAAGTTTTATATGATTTTATTAGCTGTATTGGTTCTTACATTCACCATGACAGTCAAGATGTTGAGCAGTTCAAATACCCCAAGAACCCCTCTTCTTTCTTTTAAAACCAGAACCAGGGCTTCCCGAGTGACTCAGTGGTAGCGAATCAGCCTGCCAATGCAGGAGACATGGGTTTGATCCCTGACCTGGGAAGACCCACACATGCTGTGGAGCAACTAAGCCTGTGTGCCACAACTACTGAGTCAGTTCTCTAGAGCCCGGGAACTGCAACTATTGAGCCCACATGTCCTAGACCCTGTGCTCTACAATAAGAGAAGCCACCTCACCGAGAAGCCCAGGCACCACAACTAGAGAGCAGTCTCCACTCTCTTCAATGACAGAAAAGCCTGTGCAGCAATGAGGACCCAGCACAGCAATCAATCAATCAATAAAATTATAAAACCATAATCATGCTAACCCTCCTCCCATTCTTCCTCCTACTGGGTAACCCTGGCAATCACTAATCTATTCTAGATTTCTAAAATTTTAGTATTTCAAAATGTCATATAAAATGGAAACATATGATATATAATCTTTTGAGACTGACTTTTTTCACATGGCATAATTCCCTGGAGATTCATCATTCATACAGAAAATTCATAACATTATAATACAGGAAACAAACAAGTAAACACTGTCCTACCCTGTTCCACAAGTAGTTCTGATTTTTCTTGATTGAGAAGCCTAGATTCTTTATTTAATTTTTCCAGTTCACGCTGACAGTCTACCAATCTCCTTTCTTTCTCCCTTACTGTTCTCTGGTGATTGTGATATAAATCATTTAGTTGCTCATCAGACCCTTGAAAAACCTGTGTAGAATGAAAATAAAGTATAACAAGGTACCACACTGAGGTACAAAATATGAACCAGAGCTTATTCAATATCCTTCCTTTTAACATAAACATGGAAGTTACACAAACATCAAGATTTCTATGTTTGGAAATGAGTAACAAAATGGGATCAAATGAGGTTCATGACAATAATCTCAAAATTCTGAAGTAGAACAAAATTCTACCACCACAAACCTTTTCCATTTTCTGTTCCAGTTCACTATTATCTTTTTCCATTTGCTTCTTTCGGCTTTCTAAAGCTTTAATTTCATTGTCGAGTCTCATTATTTTAGAGAGATTTTGTTCGATTTCTTTTAGACGATTCTGAAAATAAACACGCTGCATAAGTAAAATTCACTATAGTTTACACTGCAAATAATTGAAGATAAATAATATGTCCCAGGGCCAGTCACTTAGTCACATTGCTATAAAGGGAGCACAGAGAAACTGAGGATTTTAGACACTGTAACTCGTGCAACTCCTTATAGCTCATAAAGAAAAGAAGGAAATAAACTCCCTTCTAACTCCAAAGCCCATGCCCTACCTTCAACACCTCTCACGAAAGTCATTCAGTCACTGGGTAACTGGAGTCACATTATGTAAAGTACCACATTTTAAGAACTTAATCCTTAAAAGGCTAACTATTTGATTTATTAAAAAAGAAATTAGAACTATTGAGTGGACTAGAAACTCATGCTGCATCACAAGTGAAATGTGACAAATGATCTCAGTGGCCTGCTTCTAGCAACAGCTGGCTGCCTCACCTCCTAGGAATATGGGTGACCTGGCTCAGAAAATTCCCTCCTTGGATGATGCTGGGGACATTCTTCTGGTGCTTTCCTCTACAATTCTAAGGCTGACCAATTCCTCTTCTAAGACACTTTTTAAACTAGCACATTACGGATATCAACTGCAAGCTTTCATACCTGTACCAAAATGCATCCTCAACTTCAACGTCATTTACTAAATTATACTAAGGTGGCTCAGCTGCAATGCAGGAGACCTGGGTTTGATCCCTGGGTTGGGAAGATCCCCTGGAGAAGGGAACGACTACCAACTCCAGTATTCTAGTATTCCGGCCTGGAGAAGTCCATGGACTGTGTAGTCCATGGGGTCAAAAAGAGTTGGACATGACTCAGCGACTTTCACTTCACTAATACCATTATCTTATGATTTATATAAAGGTAATGTGTTATCATCATAGAAACGTTGTTCACTTTGTTCACCAACACTTCCCCAGCACATGTAACAAGTGTTTAGTACGTTAGCTGAATGAGAGATTAAAAAACAATTATCAATAACATTCATAGCTATCAGCGATCGAAGACTTGTTATACTGCAGACACTGTACTAAGTGCTGCTATATATTCCCTCTAATCATTATCACACCTCAGGCAAAGTGGGTTCAGTTCCAGACCACTGCAATAAAGTGATTATTGCAATAAAGCCATGTCACACAAATCTTTTGACTTCACAGTGTATATAAAGTTGTTTACACTACCATGTAGAAGTGTGCAATAGTATTATGTCTTAAAAGAAAACAATGTTCATATTTTGATCTGTTCCCATGAATCATGAATATTCTTAATGGCATCTAGAATGGTAAATCCTTTCTAGAAGGTTTTCAATTTACCCAGATCCATCACTGGAATTACTATCTATGGCAACTACAGCCTTATGAAATGTATTTCTTAAAAAGACATGAAAATGAAAAATGACTTCTTGATCCATGAGCTGCAGAATGGATGCTATCTTAGCAGACATGAAAACATAAATCTCATTGAACATCTCCATCAGCACTCTTGGGTGACCCAGATACATGGTTAATGAGCAAAACTATGGATATTTTGGAAAAAAAATTTTTTTGAGCAGTAGATCTCAACAATGGGTTTAAAATATTCACTGAACCATGCTGTGAATAGACACACTGTCATCCAGGTTGCTCCATTTATAGAACACAGGCATAGTGGACATAGCATAATTTTTAAGGGCTCTTAAGATTTTCAGAATGGGCAACAAGCACTGGCTCCCACTTAAGTCGCATGCTAAATTAGTCCCTAGCAACAGTCAGCCTGACCTCTGAAGCTTGGAGGCCAGGCATTGACTTCTCCTCTCTAGCCATGGAAGTCCTAGAGGGTATCTTCTATCAGTATAAGGCTGTTTCCCCTACAGTGAAGATCTGCTGTACAATGACGTCAACTTCATTCATGGTCTTAGCTATGTCTTCTGTATAACCTGCAGCTTCTATATGAGCATTTGCTGCTTTACCTTGCACTCTGAAGTCTTGGGAGACAGCATCTTTCCTTAAACCTTAAGAATCTCTGGCTACTTTCACACCTTTCTTTTGCAGCGTCCTTACCTCTCAGCCTTCACAGAATTGAAGAGAGTTAGGACCTGGCACTGGATGAGGCTTTCACTTAAGGGAATGTTGTGGCTGGTTTGATCTTCTGTCCAGACAACTAAAATCTCCACATCAGCAATAATGCTGTTTCACTTTCTTATCATTTATGAGTTCACTGGAGTAACACTTTTAATTTCCTTCAAAAACTTTTTCCTTTGCATTCACAAGCTGGCTAACCACCTGACATATGAGACCCAGCTTTTGGCCTGTGATGGCTTTTGATATGCCTTCCTCACTGACCTTAATCATTTCTAAGTTTTGATTTAAAGTGAGAGATGTGTGACTCTTCCTGTCTCTTGAAGATGTGAGAGGCCCTTACAGGGTTAATAACTGGTCTAATTTCAATAATAGGTGTCTCAGAAGAAGAGGGAGAAAGGGGAATCGACAGTTGGTAAAGCAGTAAGAACACATACAACATTTATTGATTAAATGTGTTGTCTTAAAAAAAGAAATTTAGTGAAGTACAATAATAAAATTTGTTGTCTGATACGGGTGTGGTTTGTGGCACCCCAAAACAATTACAGTAGCAACACCAAAGATCATTGATTATAATATACCATAATAATATAACAATGAAAAAGCTTGAAATATCCCAAGAATTACCAAAATGTGACACAGAGACACAAACTGGCGTTGGTGATACAGTGGTGAGCACAGCTGCCTTCCAAAATGAGCAAATGCTGTTGGAAAAATGACACCAACACACTTGCTTGACACAGAGTTACTACAAAAAAAATCAATTAAAGAAAAAAGCAGTTATCTACAAAGCACAAGAAAGCAAAGTGCGCCTGTACATGCTGAGCACAGCAGGAGACTCCAAGGACTTGTACAGAGTCCCAGACTTAAACGTGGGTGAGGACACTGGGAGGCAAGGTGGCGCAACAATGAAGACCACAGGCTCTGGGAGCTGGAATGACTGGACATCTATGTAAAGAAGTACATCTCAACCTCACCTCATACCGCATTAAAAAATTAACCTGAAATATACTTAAATATAAGAACTCAAGACTATAAAACTTCAAGAAGAAAATTTTTGTGACCTTGGGTCAGGCAAAGATTTCCTAGATAGGAAACAAAAAGCAAAAACTATAAGAAAATGTTAATTCTGATGAAGTAAAAATCTCCTTGGAAGAAAAGCTATGATCAACCTAGAGAGCATATTAAAAAGCAGAGATATCACTTTGCTGACAAAGTCCATATAGTCAAAGCTATGGTTTTTCCAGCAGTCATGTACAGATGTGAGAGTTGGACCATAAAGAAGGATGAGCACCAAAGAACTGATGCTTTTCTACTGTGGTGCTAGAGAAGACTCTTGAAGTCCTTCGAACAGCAAGATCAAATCAGTTAGTCCTAAAGGAAATCAACCCTGAATATACACTGGAAGGACTGATGCTGAAGTTGAAGCTCCAATACACTGGTCACCTGAGAAGAGCCGACTCGCTGGAAAAGACCCTGATGCTGGGAAAGGCTGAGGGCAAAAGGAGATGAGGGCGACCGAGGATGAGATGGCTGGATGGCATCACCAACTCAATGGACATGAATGTGAGCAAACTATGGGAGATAGTGAAGGACAGGGAAGCCTGTCATCCTGTAGTCCGTGGGGCCGCAAAAAGTCGGACAGGACTAAGCAACTGAACAGCAACAGCAGCAGCAATCACACATCTATTTTGATGGCTGAAATAAAAAACAGCAACACTAAGTGCTGATGAGGATGAAGCACAACTACACTCTTAAACATCGTTGTGGGACTATCAGAGTGACCTCTGGAAAATAGTTCGGCAACTAAGGTAAAACACACACTTAATATATAGCCTAACAACTCACTCTGAGGGAATTACCCAAGAGAAATGAAAACATATCTCCAAATAAACACCTCTACACAGAAGTTTATAGTAGTTTTATTTGTAATAGCTAAAAGCTGTTAACAACCTAATGTCTGTCAACAAAAGAACAGATGAACAAACTGCAATATATCCTTGTGCTGGAATATCCTCAGCAATAAAAAGGAATGAGCTACTCAAACATGCAACATAGGTAGATTTTAAAGTTGTTACGCTAACAGTCAGACACAAAAGCTACATAATGCATGATTCCACTGATGCGGCATTCTGGAAAAGGCAAAACACAAAACAAATGAGTGACCACCAAAGGCTGGGAGTGAAGGTAGCAGAATGACTACAAACAGACTTGAAAGAACTTTTGGGGGTGATGGAAAGTTCCCATATATTGACTGTACTCATAGCAGTAATACTACTGTGTGTGTTTGTCCAAACTCATCATAGTAATTTCAAAAGTGTGGATTTTATTAAAAGTAAATTATATTTTGATAAATCTGACCAAAGAAGAAAAGTATGGGTTTAGGAATCAGAGAGGTCTAGGTTTACCCCTTACTTCCAGCATGAATACCTGTGCCTCAGTTTTCTTGTCTGAAAAACTTCACAGGGTTACCACGGGGCTTGTATAATGTGTTTTAAAGCATTCTCATCAGTGACGGGGCATACAGAAAGTCCTTCATGAATGTGATCATTCATATCAGTTATGGGGAAAAAACTGTATTCAGAAAATATACTGAGCAGTCTAATAAAGAGAACTGGATTAATTCTCAACGGCAACAAACAGGAATACCTCTGTTACTGTAACAGAGGAGTCTCTACTTCTCAGAAACCTGTCGGCTTCCATCAGTGTTTTCCCTGTGCGTGGCAGTATTAGCATTATCTTGGCTGGGGCTTCCCTAGCAGCTCAGTGAAGTCTGCCTACCAATGTAGGAGGTGTGGGTTTGATCCCTGGATCAGGAAGATCCTTTGGAAAAGGAAATGACGACTCACTCCAGGATTCTTGACTAGGAAATATCATGGACAGAGGAGCTTGGTGGGCTACAGTCCCAAAGGGTTGCAAAAGAGTTGGACAAAACCTCATGACTAGACAACAACAAGGATTCTTTATACACTCCAAATAAAAGTTCCTTGTCACATATGTAACTTGCAAATATTTTCTCCCATTCTTTGTGTGGTCTTTCTGCATTCTTTTTCATTTATTTTTATTAGTTGGAGGCTAATTACTTCACAACATTGCAGTGGGTTTTGTCATACATTGACATGAATCAGCCATGGAGTTACATGTATTCCCCATCCTGATCCCCCCTCCCACCTCCCTCTCCACCCAATTCCTCTGGGTCTTCCCAGTGCACCAGCCCTGAGCACTTGTCTCATGCATCCAACCTGGGCTGGTGATCTGTTTCACCCTAGATAATACACATGCTGTTCTCTCGAAACATCCCACCCTCACCTTCTCCCACAGAATCCAAAAGTCTGTTCTGTACATCTGTGTCTCTTTTTCTGTTTTGCATATAGGGTTATCATTACCATCTTTCTAAATTCCATATATATGTGTTAGTATGCTGTGATGTTCTTTATCTTTCTGGCTTACTTCACTCTGTATAATGGGCTCCAGTTTCATCCATCTCATTAGAACTGATTCAAATGAATTCTTTTTAACAGTTGAGTAATATTCCATGGTGTATATGTACCACAGCTTCCTTATCCATTCGTCTGCTCATGGGCATCTAGGTTGCTTCCATGTCCTGGCTATTATAAACAACAGTGCTGCGATGAACATTGGGGTGCATGTGTCTCTTTCAGATCTGGTTTCCTCAGTGTGTATGCCCAGAAGTGGGATTGCTGGGTCATATGCCAGTTCTATTTCCAGTTTTTCAAGAAATCTCCACACTGTTCTCCATAGCGGCTGTACTAGTTTGCATTCCCACCAACAATGTAAGAGGGTTCCCTTTTCTCCACACCCTCTCCAGCATTTACTGCTTGTAGACTTTTGGATAGCAGCCATCCTGACTGGCGTGTAATGGTACCTCAATGTGGTTTTGATTTGCATTTCTCTGATAATGAGTGATGTTGAGCATCTTTTCATGTGTTTGTTAGCCATCTGTATGTCTTCCTTGGAGAAATGTCTGTTCAGTTCTTTGGCCCATTTTTTGATTGGGTCATTTATTTTTCTGGAGTTGAGCTGGAGGAGTTGCTTGTATATTTTTGAGATTAATCCTTTGTCTGTTGCTTCATTTGCTATTATTTTCTCCCAATCTGAGGGCTGTCTTTTCACCTTGCTTATAGTTTCCTTTGTTGTGCAAAAGCTTTTAAGTTTCATTAGGTCCCATTTGTTTATTTTTGCTCTTATTTCTAAAATTCTGGGATGTGGGTCATAGAGGATCCTGCTGTGATTTATGTTGGAGAGTGTTTTGCCTATGTTCTCCTCTAGGAGTTTTATAGTTTCTGGTCTTATATTTAGATCTTTAATCCATTTTGAGTTTATTTTTGTGTATGGTGTTAGAAAGTGTTCTAGTTTCATTCTTTTACAGGTGGCTGACCAGTTTTCCCAGCACCACTTGTTAAAGAGGTTGTCTTTTTTCCATTGTATATCCTTGCCTCCTTTGTCAAAGATAAGGTGACCATAGGTTCGTGGATTTATCTCTGGGCTTTCTATTCTGTTCCATTGATCTATATTTCTGTCTTTGTGCCAGTACCATACTGTCTTGATGACTGTGGCTTTGTAGTAGAGTCTGAAGTCAGGCATGTTGATTCTTCCAGTTCCATTCTTCTTTCTCAAGATTACTTTGGCTATTTGAGGTTTTTTGTATTTCCATACAAATTGTGAAATTATTTGTTCTAGTTCTGTGAAAAATACTGTTGGTAGCTTGATAGGGATTGCATTGAATCTATAGATTGCTTTGGGTAGTATAGCCATTTTGACAATACTGATTCTTCCAATCCATGAACACGGTATGTTTCTCCATCTGTTTGTGTCCTCTTCGATTTCTTTCATCAGTGTTTTACAGTTTTCTATGTATAGGTCTTTTGTTTCTTTAGGTAGATGTACTCCTAAGTATTTTATTCTTTTTGTTGCAATGGTGAATGGTATTGTTTCCTTAATTTCTCTTTCTGTTTTTTCATGTTATTGTATAGGAATGCAAGGGATTTCTGTGTGTTAATTGTATATCCTGCCACTTTACTATATTCATTGATTAGCTCTAGCAATTTTCTGGTAGAGTCTTTAGGGTTTTCTATGTAGAGGATCATGTCATCTGCAAACAGCGAGAGTTTCACTTCTTCTTTTCCTACCTGGATTCCTTTTACTTCTTTTTCTGCTCTGATTGCTGTGGCCAAAACTTCCAACACTATGTTGAATAGTAGTGGTGACAGTGGGCACCCTTGTCCTGTCCCTGATTTCAGGGGAAATGCTTTCAATTTTTCACCATTGAGGGTGATGCTTGCTGTGGGTTTGTCATATATAGCTTTTATTATGTTGAGGTATATTCCTTCTATTCCTGCTTTCTGGAGAGTTTTAATCATAAATGAGTGTTGAATTTTGTCAAAGGCTTTCTCTGCATCTCCTTTCGAAGACAATGGGTTGCTTTTCTGGGCACCTGATGACCTCAGCTAGCGATCAGAAGTTGTTTTGTGAAGTTTGCTCTGCGTTCAGTTATTCTTTTGATGAATTTGTAGGAGAGAAAGTGGTCTCCCCGTCCTATTCCTCCACGATCTTGGCTCCTCCCCTCTTTTTGCATTCTTGATGGTATAGTTTGCTAAATAAAAGTTTTTTGTTTTGATGAAGTCCAATTTATCTATTTTCTTTTTGTTTCTCAATTGTGCCACAATCACCATCTTCAAGCTCTTAAAGAACCTATGTTTAAACTACATCATTCACATTGCTACAGCTCTTCATTTTACTTCTTTGTAATCCTAACTATCTTTCAAAATATATTCTTTATTTCTCCAACTAGACTATTAGATCATTAAAAACAAAGTCTAAGTCTTCGACCTCCCTATCCTCAAGAGAACAGGGCTCCAAAATCAATGCGGACGGTGACTGCAACCACGAAATTAAAAGACACTTGCTCCTTGGAAGAATAGCTTTGTCAAACCTAGACAGTGTTTTAAAGCAGAGACATCACTTTGCCAACAAAGGTCTGTATAGTCAAAGCTGTGGTTTTTCCAGCAGTCATGTATAAATGAGAGAGTTGGTCTATAAAAAAGGCTGAGCACCAAAGAACAGATGCTTTCGAACTGTGGTGCTGAAGAAGACTCTTAGGAGTCCTTTGAACAGCAAGGAGATTAAATCACTCAATCCTAAAGGAAATCAACCCTGAATATTCACTGGAAGGACTGATGCTGAAACTGAAGCTCCAATACTTTGGCCACCTGATGCGAAGATCTGACTCATGGGAAAAGACCTTGATGCTGGGAAAGATTGAGGACAAGAGAAGAACGGGATGACAGAGGATGAGATGGCTGCACGGCATCACTAACTCAATGGACATGAGCTTGAGCAAACTCAGGGAGATAGTGATGGACAGAGAAGCCTGGCATGCTGCAATTTATGGGGTCAAAAAGAGTTGGACATGACTTAGCGACTGATCAACAACAATCCTCAAGAGTACCTAGCACAGTACTATGCACAAAACAGTAAGCACTCACTAAAGGATGCATTCATGTCAATAGGCACTGGGACAGAAAACCAAGCTATTTTCAGATTACAATTCAAATATCTATACCAGCATTTACAAGAGTTTTAAAAAACCAAATCAGTAATAAAAAAAAAAAATTTAAACTTTCCTCTGTTACTTTAGAAAGCCATTTTAAAAAATGATTTTTTAGACCAGTAATACCTTAAATGGAAAGGACACTACTGTCGTTCTCTCTGCACCTGTAGCTCCAAACACAGTACACCCCGACACACTGGAAACACTTAACGCGTGCTTGTGAAACGAATGGTGGGATTCTGTTAAAGTTTTGCTTACAAACTACAGAATTTAGAAATCTAACTCGTTTGTAAATATATCAACATGCTACACATCAATTTCAAATTTTGTACAATGTCAAGAACATCCTACAAATTATAAAAATTGCAAAGAAAGACCTGTTAATTAAAAAGTACTCTCTTTCGGACTTCCTTGGTGGTAGAGTGATTGGGAATTCACCTGCCAATGCAGGGGACATGTTCAATCTCTGGTCCAGGAAGATCCCACATGCCACAGAGCAACTAATTCCACACACCACAACTACAGAGCCTGTGCTCCAGGGCCCGAGAGCCCACAGCCACAACTACTGAAGCCCATGCACCTACATACAGCCTGTGCTCTGCAACAAGAGAAGCGACGGCAATAAGCCTGTGCACTGCAACAAAAAGTAGCCCTTGCTCACAGCAACTAGAGAGCCTGCATGCAGCCACAGAGACTCAGTGCAACCGTAAATAAATAAATGGTTAAAAAAAATAATCTTCTTAAGAATACAGAACTGTAAGGTTGAGTCATTACACTGTTAAAAACTAGTGACATGACTCATTTAATATGATACTACAAATTTGTTTACTCTCAAATGCAAGATCTTCAGGCAACTTTAAGACTATTTTAACACAGACTTTAAGATATAACCATGCTTCCCTGGTGGCTCAGAGGGTAAAGCACCTGCCTGCAATGCAGGAGACCCAGGTTTGATCCCTGGGTCAGGAAAAGGCAACCCACTCCAGTACTCTTGCCTGGAAAATCCCATGGATGGAGAAGCCTGATAGGCTACAGTCCATGGTCTTGAAAAGTCAGACACGACTGAGCAACTTCACCTTCACTTTCAAGACATAACCATAATATATAGTCTCTGATCATTTTTTCAAGAAATACACACACCATTCACAGAAAAATAAGTACTTTTAGGGTAAGAGATAGATAAATGGTGACCTTCTCAGCATACAAGAGATCAAATTACCTTCAATGGATCAAGTTCATTCTCATAGGATTTGACAATTTCCCTTGAGGATGTTAACTGGGCTTCCTTACTAGTAATCTGATCACGAATCTCACAAGCTTTTTCTTTGTTTTGCTTCAGGTATTTTAGTTCTGTTTGACATTCTTTTACTTTCTGACCTTGTGTCTGCCGTACCTGCCGAAGTGTTTCCAAGGCTTTTATGTACCTTTGAAGATATTAAATAAAAATCAAATTTCTTGGTAAGCATACTATAGTATATTCAAACAATGGATATTATGCAGTCATTAAGATAACATTTACAAAGAGTTTTTAATAACTCAGAAAATGCTTATGACATAATAGTAAGTACAAATGTTACATATATTCTGTCAACCAAGTGAATGAAGATGCCAAGAAAGAAAACTGAAAGGAAATTTGCCCATTGGTTTCCACTGGATAAGTGGTATAATTGCTGACTTTCTGTTTAGAAAAAGAAGCATCCAAATTACAATTCTGGCTCAATAACTTAATGGACTACAAAACCTAATTACTGGTTACAAACCTTGTTGCTGAAAAAATCTCATCAAATTTTTGCTTCAAAGCCTTTCCTTCACTTAAAGGCCAATTAGACTCTTCTTGATGACAGAAAATGACATTATTTAGCACAGATTTGGAAACCCCAAGAGAACTTATCATCTCTCGGTCAATTTCTGCACACTTGGAGCTGAGACTGACTTTTTCACCATGCCTGCAGAAAAAGAAAATCAAGAATTTATGGAAAATGGCATCCAATTGTATCTAGTCTGTTAATTAATTCTTTGTGCCTGTACTTACAAAAAAGCCAAAAAAAATTCCCCTCATCCATCCCCAGTGGATGACCTTCTAATACTAAAAAGTACAACTCTCAAATGTTTCAGTATGTAAAAGTTAAATGAAAAAGTATGTAAAACAGGGTGGTAGGGAACAGGTGCTAGTGTTGTTTTTTTAAGTAGTTGGCAAACATTTATAGGCAATACATAAAGGAAAATAAACTATCTTCCATCCTCAAAACTTTAAAATAAGGAAAATAAGAGACTCAAAAGAATAAAGCATGATGATACACAGCAGACAGGCAAAGGTACTTAAAAAAACATCAATACTGTGCTGATTAGATAAGGGACTGTTTAGTAAAAGACACACTAAAAGGTGTGTAAAGGCAAACCTTAGTGATGCCCATCCAATAAATCCTAGGAAGATTCTTAATCAACAGACCTAAGTTCTAGGGTCATAATAACAAAACAATCAAAACAGAATTGCCTCAGGGCCTTTTAAATAAGTTCCCTATTTCATTACACCTGGGGCCAGGAGCATCCCTAGCCTTGGATTCCAAGTGATTTCTTAGTACCTTTCTTCAGAAGGGTAAACTGACCATTTTCTTTCAAATCTTCTGTCTTGTATCTAGTCAGTAGAGGTAATGTCTGTCTTTACTTGTCATTTCTGTATGTATTCTGAAAATGTTACACTGAATGTACTAAAAATGTTTTGTAGGGGGACAGATCAGGACGTTGTAGGCGGCTTTCTAACTAACGGGGAGCCAAGGGGGAAAGGATCATAAGCTTGTTTTTGAATATGTTGAAACTAAGGTTTCTTTGGAAGAACTGGTAGAAAATGAGAGAGCTCGGTACATGGGTCTGGAAACAGAGGTCTGGTCTAGAGACATTCATGAATGAATCACTTACCAATACATGTACAAATACAAACAAAAAAGAATGAGAATGTAGAGCAAAAACAGGAGAGGATCTAAGATAGAGCCTATGGAACTCCAAACAATTGACTGGGTAGGATGTGAGTGAGGGAGAGAAAAGAGGCAACAACATTGTGTTATAAAATGAAGGTCTAGAAAAAAATTTTCAAGAAGTGATTAACAGCTACCATTTACTGAGCTGTACATACAACAACTCTCCAGGGTAGTTATATTCTAATTCTTGGAATTTGTAAATGCGTTAGCTTACATAGCTAAGTGGACTGTTCCTCATCTGACTTTATTTTTGGAAACTGATGTTAAGTGTATTTTATTACAATTTTCAACATTTTAAAATATTTTCAAATTACATATAATAAACTTCACATATTAAAACTGTACAATGGCTTTTACTTTTGAAATATGCATATAATTGTGACACCACTGCCATAGTAAAAACAATGAACATATTTATCATCTCCAACATATTCATCATGTCCCTGTATAATTTTGACCTTCCTCTACCCCAACTCCTACTCTCAGCCGACTGACCGTTTTAATCACTACAGATTTATCTTTTCAAGAGTTTTATATAAATGGAGTAAGTATATATTCTATTTTGTCTGACTTCTTTGAGATTTATCCATGCTGCTGTATCAACAGATCATTCTTTTTTTTTTTTTAACTGCTTAGTAGCATTTCACTGTACCATCTCACTTTAAATATAGAGAGATTATCTGGGTGGGGCCAAGGTAATCACAGGGGAATAAATGTGGGAGAGGGAGGTTGAAGAGGAAATAAGGATGATGTGATAACTCTGCTCACTGTTGGAGACTTTCACGATTCAAAGAATGTGGGTGGCCCCTGAAAGATGAAAGTGGCAAAGAAACAGACGTTCCCTAGGGCTTCCAGAAAGGAACAAAACCTTGCCAATACTTTGATTTTAAGCCAGTGAGATCCAATTTGGACTTCTAAACTACAGAACTATAAGATAAGTTTGCATTGTTTTAAGCCACTAAGTTTGTGATTTGTTGCAGCAATCACAGAAAATTAATACACGAGTTCCAATGACACATTAAGCATTTTATGTCCTTAACTTCAACCCTTAACATCCTTCTAAGATATCTACAGTGATAATGAAGCCATAGTTTACAAATTAAAAAAACAGAGACTCACTGCAAGGTCTATTTGGTAAATCAATAGCATTATTCTAATTAATACAGAGGTTGTGACAGTTGTAGCTGTTTCAATATACAAATGGGGCAAAAGAAGGAGTCAGGAGGAAGTGAAGAAATGGAGACAGTATCAATAACTCTTCTGAAAAAACTGACCATAAAGGGGAAGATGAAGACAGACTGTAACTGAGGTGAAATGAAACCTGAGATTGTAGGCGAGACCTGAGGGTGTTTAAAAGCCACTGTCTCTAGCACATAATAGGTGTTATACATTATTGGTTAACAGATTATTTAATTAGTTTAACAAATTAATAAATGAAAGGGATAAGATGATAAATAATTTGCTCAATAAGGATAAAGCTTTGAACTCAGGGCAGCTTAATGCCAACATCCAAACCCATTACAAGATGATACCTGCCCTTAACAGAATGACAACAGTTGAAAGGGACAATATGCTTTCCTACCTGTCTGTTTACCTCATCTTTCCCTATAAACATGATTACTAGCACGTTTCACAATCTACATTTGAGTGATTATGCACCTTCAATTTAGCAACTGTCCATAAATTACTCAAAGGAATGGACCATTATTACTAAATTTTTAATAGGATCACTGTTTAACTGATAAATAGTATCAAATAAAAAATTAAATGATGATAGTAGATAAGGCTGTGCAGGTGTAGAGATAGATGAAACTCTACTTTTTGCTCAGTTGTGCTAAGAAACTAAAATAGGTTTAAAGGTAACTCTGTTAAAAAATTAATAAGTTCCATTTTTAATAGATTAAAAAACCAGACTGCAAATCCTTTGGTGCTTGCCCCCCCCCCCCCCCCAAGCAAACCTTGTGCCAGGTTTTTGGTTCAAATTGCATATTCTACTAACCCATATGAGTGTATTTCTGTAAGCATAATTATGTTGAAATAGTTTTAAAAAGCAAAAAAATAATTAATAAGTTTCCTTAAAATAAACTTAAAATGTAGAAGAAAAACATACAGATTTGTAAACCAAAAGACAAAAAAGGATCAGACACTAAAATATAAAATAAACACCTACTTTGTTCTAGTAATGACTCCTTCCAAGGTTTTAAATTCTGTCTTTTTGCTTTTCTGAGTACAAAGCATAGATCTCTGCACAGCCACAAGTTCTCCATTGACATCACGAAACTGTAGACGAATCTGGGCTCTGACATCTGTTTCTTGAGCAACCTTTGAAGGTAAAAAGAGGAAAATCATGCTACCTTAATAAGTATCAGAATATTACTTCTGAAAAGAAAATATTCAAGCAATTTTACCTATCAAAAATGAAACAAACAAACAACAAAATGAATGAGATTATTACATGCTATTCAAAATATAGCAGGACCACAAATAACCAAATAATACTGAGAAAGAAAAACAGAGCTGGAGGAATAAGGCTCCCTGACTTCAGACTATACTATAAAGCTACAGTAATCAAAACAGTACATAATGACACAAAGAGAAACTTACAGATCAATGGAACAGGCTAGAAAGATCAGAAATAAACGCACGTACCAATGGTCAATTGATCTACAACAATGGAGGCAAGAATATATGACGGAGAAAAGACAGTCTCCTTAATAAGTGGTACTGGGAAAACTGGTGTGTGACATGTAAAACAATGAGATTAGAACATTCTCTAATACCATACACAAAAATGAACTCAAAATGGATCAAAGACCTAACTGTATGATCGGATACTATAATGCTCTTTGAGGAAAACTGTTGCAGAGCAATCTTTGACATAAATTGCAGCAGTATCTTTTTAAGGCCACCTCCTAGACTAATCAAAACAAAAACAAATGGAACCTAATTAAACTTCAAAGCTTTTGCAGAGCAAAGGAAACCATAAAAAAAAAGGAAAATTCATCCCACAGAATGGGAGAAAATATTTGCAAATAATGCAATTTACAAGGGATTAACCTCCAAAATATACAAACAGCTCATGCAGCTCACTATCAACAAACAACCCAATCAGAAAATGGAAGGAAAATCTAACTAGACATTTCTCCAAAAAAGACATACAGGGGAGCCATCAGGATGGAAGAGTAGTACACATGAAGTTTACCTTCTCCCACAAACACATCAAAATAAATCTACATGTAGAATGATTCTCAGAGAGTATCTATTGTAAAGCTGGCAGAAGACCTCAGACTTCTGAAAGGTTAAGGAAATCTCCACATAACCAGGTAGGAAAAAAGAACAAAAAGAAATAGAGAAAGGAATCAGGATGGGACCTGCACCTGTGGAAGGGAGCCATGATAGGAAAGGTTCCAGCACCCTGTGGACCTCCCTCACTGGCAGGGAGACTGGCCAGGACATAAGGGGAGTTTCTGAGTCTCAGAGAAGAATGTGCAGCTGGTTTGTATAGTCAGGCCAGAGGGACAACTGCACAGATGTTCGGTGCTGCCAACCTGCACTCCCTAGCATGAGATGCTCTTCTGTTGGTGTGGACAGGGGCTGAGTGCTGACAGTCGGGCTTCAGAGATCAGAACCAGAGAACTGTGGTTGGCCCTGCGGAAACAGCCTGGAGCGTGGGGCTGGAATTCAGTCTGAGCTCAACTCAAAGGAAGCCTGGACGACCTTAGAGGCTAGCTGCCATTGTTTAGGGGGTGCAATGAGAAGAGGGGCAGGACCCGGATAGCAGCCCTTTCCTCAGTGTGCGTACTAGTAGCGGACAGGACACTGCCTGCAGCATGGGCTTCTAGTGCTCTGCAGCCCCCACCACTTCCGTTCCAGACACCAAGAATGGCTGCAAGCCCTCTCCACCTCCCTCCCAGAACCCAGGAGCAGTCACAACCCCCTGCTGCAGACACCAGGAATAGTCACGAGACACCTCCGTTCCCACTGCATGCCCCAGAGGTGCCCCTGGGTCACCACTGCGAACCTCAGGACTGGGCAATAAGCCTCTGCATCTGCACACTCCCATCAAGGGGATAAAAACCAGTACACACTGAAGAAAGAGGCTCTAGGCATCCATACTAGAAAGCGCCTTCATACCAAATCTATTAATCCTATACAAGCTACAAAGGGACAACCCTACATATAAACAGCCCTCCAAGGCCACAGTATATAACTAGTTTTCCTAAACTCAGAATAAGAAAAGTATAAGTAAAATGAAAAAGCAGAAGAACCATTCTCAATTAAAAGACCAAGAGAAATCCCCTGAAAGAACAATGAAACAGACCTCTTCTAATAAACATCAACTTCAAAAAGGAGGTAATGAAGATACTGAAGGAATAAGAAAGGCTATCAACAGAAATGCAGACTACTGTAAAAAGAAATAAAGGACTACAAAGAACCAAGAACGATTAGAAAATTCATTTGCAGAGATGAAAGCTGAGCTAAAACCAATGAACAGCAGGATAAACAATGCAGAATAATGAATAAGTGACCTGGAAGATAAAATAATGGAAATCACTCAATCAGGACAGCAGGTAGAAAGCCAAATAAAAAAATGAAAGCAATATAAGAGACCTATGGGATAGTATAAGGCATGCAAATCCACCAATAAGATGGCTACCAGAAGGGGGTCTAAAATTATCTGAAGTAATCATGGCTGAAAACTTCCCAAACCTATAAAAGGAAACAGATATCCTGCTCTGTCCATGGGATTCTCAACGCAAGAATACCGGAGTGGGTTGTCATGCTCTCTTCCAGGGGAATCTTCCCAACCCAGAGACTGAACTCACATCTCTGACTCTTGCATTGAAGGTGGACCCACTGAGCCACCTGGGAAACCCTAACAGGAAGCACAGGAGGTCCCAAATAAGATAAACCCAAACAGATCTACACCAAGACATATTATATAAAAATGGCAAAAGTTAAAGAGAAAATTCTTAAGGCAGAAAGAAAAAAACAAAGATTTAATTATAAGGAACCCTCATAACGTTTATCACCTGTACAGAAACATTACAGGCCTAAAGGGAGTGGCAAGATATAGTCAAAGTCTTGAAAGGGAAAAATTTACAACATAGAATACTCTACCCAGCAAGATTATCATTTAGAATAGAAGAACAGATAAAGAATTTCTCAGACATGCATAAACTAAAAGAATACAGCACTACTAAACTTATCTTAAAGGAAATATTGAAAGATCTTCTCTGTATCTCTAAAGAAAAGAAGAATCTATAAGAGGAAATCAAAATTGGAAAGTAAATCACTTAAATAAACCATTACACATATAAAAAAATTTTTAAAACTTCTATTAAAGTGATGATAACACAATGAAGAACAAAAGGATGAACATGAAGATGTAGAACAGGACATCAAAATCATAACATGTGGAGGAGGAAAGTAAGAAAATGTAGTTTTCTTCCTAGAATGTCTTTCAGCCTTTATGACTACCAGTCTAAGAGAAATACATAAGGAAGGGGTTGACACACTTGAAAAACGGTATCCACAAATCAAAAACAGAAAATAGATTCAGAAAAACAAAAACGAACATAATACAAAAAAAAATAAAAATAAAAACTCAACAGGAAAAACAAAAAGAAAGGAACAAAGAAGAAATATAAAATCAAGAGGAAAATGAGGCTTAAAATGGCAATAAATACATATCTATCAATAACTACCTTAAGTGTCAATGGACTAAATGCTCTAATTAAAAGACAGAGTGGCAGATTGGATTAACAAGAGCCTACAATATACCTAAAGATCACCACTTCAGGACAAAGGACACATACAGATTCAAAGTGAGAGGATGGAAAAAGATATTTCATGCTAACATAAATGACAAAAAAGCAAACACAAAACGACAAAAAAGCAATTACAATACTTGTATCAGACAAAATCGAATTTAAAACAAAGGCCATAGGACTTCCCTTGTAGTCCACAGGTTAAAAACTCACATGCCAATGCAGAGGACAGGGCTTCAATCCCTGAATGGGAAGACCACACATGCTGCAAGGCAGTTAGGCCCACGTGCACGCCAGCTACCGAGTCTGTAGCTCTAGAGCCGAGGCTCTTCAACAAGAGAAACCAGTGACTGAGAAGGCAGTACACCCAGCTGGAGAGTAACCACTGCCCACCTTAAACGGAGAAAGCCCACACACAGCAACGAAGACCCAGAACATCCAAAAAGAAATAAATGCACAGGATTCAATTCCTTTTAAAAAAGGGCCATAAAGAAGATAAAGAAAGATACTGTACAATGACAAAAGGAGCAATACAAGAAAAGGATTTTACACAACATATATGCACCTAAGATACAAGCATCCAAATATGTAAAATAAATACTAACACACATATAGGAAGAAACTGACAGGAATACAATAATAAGAGACTATAACACCACACTCACATCAATGGACAGATCTTCTAGAGAGAGAATCAGTAAAGAAAGAAAAATCCTAAATGATACAATAAAACAGATGTAACTGATATTTTCAGGACATTACATCCAAAAAAATCCCAGAATACACATTTTTTTCAGGTGCACACTGAACATTCTCTAGGACTGATCACATACTATGACAAAAAACAAGCCTCAACAAATTTAAGAGAACAGAAATCATCTCAAGCATCTTTTCTGACCAAAACAGCGTGAGACCAGAAATTAACCACAGAAAAAGAAATGAGAAAAAAACAATTACTGGAGATTAAACAACATGCTACTAAAAAACCAATGGGTCAATGATGAAATTAAAAAGGAAATTTTACAATACCTTGAGACAAATGACAATGAAAACAGAACCATGCAAAATCTCTGGAATGCAGCAAAAGTAGTTCTTAGAGGGAAGTCCATAGTGATACATTCCTTCCTCAAAAACAAGAAAAATCTAAAACAACCAACCTGAATTAGCACTTTAAGAAATCAGGAGGGAAAAAAAAAGGGAAAGAAAACCTAAAATCAGTCAAAAGAAGGAAATAATAAAGATATGAAAGAAAAGGCACCATACAATTTTTTTTTTAATATGAGAAAAAAAAAAAATCAATAAAATCAAGACCTGGTTCTTTGAAAGGATAGACAAGACTGACAAACCTCTGGCCAGCCTGACCAGGAAGAATAGAGAATCCAAATCAACAAAATAAGAAATGACAAAGGAGATGTAACAACTGATACTGCAGAAATACAAAAAAGTAAGGGAATACTATGAACAATTACACAGCAGCAAATTTGACAACCTAAAAAAAAATGGACAAGTTTCTAGACACATATACTCCACCAAAATTGAATCAAGAAGAAA